TAAGTGTTTATTACAGCCAGGTGTTGTAATTGTGTACAAGTCTTTAAAAACTTCCTTAGTTAAATTTATTCCTAAATATTTTATTTTTTTAATATTATAATTTAAATTATTTTTTTAATTTCTTTTTTGGATTGATCATTGTTGCTATGTGTAAACACAATCAATTTTTGTGTGTTGGTGTTGTAACATTGCTGAATTTATTTATTAGCTCTTGTAGATTTTTTTAAATGAATTTCATGTCTTTCCTACATGAAATCCAGACATCTTCAAAAAGAGATCATTTTACTTCTTTGTCTCCAATATGGATACCTATTATTTCTCTTGCCTGATTGTGCTGGCTAGGACTTCTGATACATTGTTGAATAGCAGCAGCGAAAGTTGGCATCCTTGCCCTGGCCTGCTTGGCTCTGTGGATAGAGCGTCTGCCTGCAGAACGAAGGGTCGCGGGTTCGATTCCAGTCAACGGCATATGCTTGGGTTGTGTCTCGATCCCCAGTGTGTGGTGTGTAGGAGACAGCCAATCGAAGATTCTCTGTCATCATTGATGTTTCTATCTCTCCCTCACCCTCTCTGAAATCAATAAAAATATGTAAGAAAGAAAGTGGGCAACCTTGTCTTGTTTCTGATCTTAGGGGAAAGCTTTTGGTCTATCATCATTGACTATGTTAGCTGTGGGTTTTTCATATATGCCCTGCATGTTAACGAAGTTCCCTTCTATTCCAAGTTCACTAAGTGTTCTTATCGTGAAATCATGTTAGATTTTGTCAAATGTTTCTCTTCTCCATCTATTAAGATGATTGTGTGGGACTCCCTCTTTCAATCTGTTAATGTGGTATATTGTACTGATTTGTTGAACCACCCTGAATTCTTAGGATAAAATCCCAATTGGTTAAGGTATATAATTTTCTAAATGTACTGTGGAATTTATTTGCTAGTATTTTTTTTTTTTTTTTTTTTAGAATTTTTGTGTTCGTATATTCATAAGAGAGATTGATTTGTAGTTTTCTATGGTCTCTTTGTCTGACCTTTGGTATCAGGCTAATAATGCTGGCCTCTTAGAATGCGTTAAGTGTTTCCTTTTCTTTTTTTGAAGGAGTTTGAACAGGATTGATCTTAATTCTTTTTTTTTTAATGTTTTATAAAATTCACTGGTAAAACCATCTGGTTCTGGTTCTTTGGAGGTTTTCGATTACTAGTCCAATCTCTTGTAGGTCTGTTGAGATTTTCTGTTGTTTCGTTTTTGTTTTGTTTTGTTTTTAATCACTTTTGTTAATTAGGAATTTTTCTTTTTTTTTCTTTTTTTTTAAATATATTTTATTGATTTTTTTATTTTTTTTGCCCCCCACCTTCCCTCCCACACATCCCCTCCCTCCCCAGAGTTTTGTGTCCATTGGTTGTACTTATATGCATGTATAAAAGTCCTTCGGTTGAACTATTATCTCTCCCAGATCTTCCTCCCCTCCCCGCTATAATTTGACAGACTACTTGTTGATATACTGTCTCTATATCTATCTTTTGGTTCATCAGTTTATAATGTTCTTTATCATCCACAAATGAGTGAGGTCATGTGGTGTTTCTCTTTCATTGACTGGCTTATTTCATTTATCATTATGTTCTCCAATTCCATCCAGGTTACTGCAAATGATGAGAATTCCTTCTTTTTTATGGCAGCATAGTATTCCATTGTGTAGATGTACCATAGTTTTTTGATCCAATCATCTGCTGACGGCCACCTAGGCTGTTTCCAAATTCTGGCTATTGTAGATTGTGCTGCTATGAACATAGGGGTGCATATATCCTTTCTGATTGGTGTTTCTAGTTTCTTGGGATATATTCCTAGAAGTGGGATTACTGGGTCAAATGGGAGTTCCATTTTCAGTTTTTTGAGGAAACTCCACACTGTTCTCCACAATGGTTGCACCAGTCTGCATTCCCACCAGCAGTGCACGAGGGTTCCTTTTTCTCGCACCAGTCTGCATTCCCACCAGCAGTGCATGAGGGTTCCTTTTTCTCCACAACCTCGCCAACACTTGTCGTTTGTTGACTTGATGTGGGCCATTCTGACAGGTGTGAGATGGTACCGCATTGTTGTTTTGATTAGCATCTCTCGGACAATTAGTGACTTTGAGCATGTTTTCATGTGCCTTTTGGCCTTCCTTCTGTCTTCTTTTGAAAATGTTCTATTTAGGTCCATTGCCCATTTTTTAATTGGATTATTCATCTTCCTTTTATTTAGTTGTATAAGCTGTTTGTAGATGTTGGAGATTAAACCTTTATCAGTGGTATCATTTGCAAATATGTTCTCCCACACAGTGGGCTTTCTTGTTGTTTTGTTGATGGTTTCTTTTGCTGTAAAAAAGCTTTTTATTTTGATGTAGTCCCATTTGTTTATTTTCTCTTTAGCTTCCATTGCCCTAGGGGTAGTATCAGTGAAGAAGTTCTTTTGGCATATGTCTGAGATTTTGCTGCCTGTGGATGCTTCTAGTATTTTTATGGTTTCCCGTCTGATGTTTAAGTCCTGTATCCATTTTGAGTTTATTTTTGTGAATGGTGTAAGTTGGTGATCTAGTTTCATTCTTTTGCAAGTGTCTGTCCAATTTTCCCAACACCATTTATTGAAGAAACTGTCTTGACTCCATTGTATATTCGTGCCTCCTTTGTTAAATATTAATTGAGCATAGTGATTTGGGTTGATATCTGGGTTCTCGATTCGATTCCATTGATCTATATGTCTGTTCTTGTGCCAGAACCAGGCTGTTTTGAGAACAGTGGCTTTGTAATATAGTTTGAAGTCTGGTATTGAGATCCCTCCTACTTTACTCTTCAGGAATTTTTCTGTTTCATCTAAATTATTTTGTTTGTTTTGGCATATGATTATCTTATAAGCCTTCTAATTTCCATAAGACTGGTAGTAGTTAGTGTCCTTGTTCTCATTTCTGATTTTAGTTATTTGCATCTTCTCACCTTTATCCTTAGTCACTATCCAAGGTTTCTATATTTTGTTGATCTTTTCAGAAAACCAACTTTTGGTTTTGTTGATTATTTTTGTTTTGTTGTTGATGCTCTTATCTGTGTTATTTACTTTGCTGGATTTGGGGTTTATTTGTGTGGGGGCTTGTTTTTTCTAGTTTCTTAAAGGTGTAAATTTGATTTTTTATTTTTTTAGAATATAAAACAACCTATCTTTTGAATATGTGTTATTGTTAGTCCTTGGAAAGCTGTGGAGCTTCTCTATGATTTTGTAGAGGAAGGGTTTTGACTTTTCCCATCTTCTGCTTCAGGATGAGCTAATCTATTACTTTGGAGGGCTGGGACATTATACATTGTGTGATGGTGGTGGTGGTGATGGTGGTGGTCCTGAGCTTCGAAGGGAGATTGATTTATGTGTAATTTTCTTAGTAGCCCTTCTTTTTCTAACTCTTTAGCCTTTCTTTTGGATAAAGGACAAAATGTAAAACCTTGCCACTTACTCCTGCCCTGATTACTGTTTGGCAATCAGGAGAAAGGGAATTTCAACTTTTTTCCGCATCTGTGCCCCTATCCTCATCCACCAAGTTGGTGGGTACCAGTAAAACTTTCTAAAGGCAGGCTACATACGGTTCCTGGAAATCCTCTTCAGTTCAGAGTAATTCATTCAACATCTGAATGATACCTAACAAAATCTCATGGTATGAGTTTGAGGTCATTTTGCCTGAGGATACTTTTAACTTTTTTTATTAGTTCTGAAAACCTACATCTATGCCACCATCTTGTCTGGAAATCTCATAAGTACTAGAAAGAACTTTTAGGATTAAAAAAAGGCACTATTTAAACTGAAATAACATTCATCTTCAGTCTAGCTTTGGATCATTTCTGTGGATAAAATGCATACGTTCAAAACTTGGCCCAATGTTCAGTTACTTCCTCTAGAATGCTCTTTATGTACTGGATAATATGTGATCTTTCAAACTTTCTTATTTGAAACTTCTATATGGATGCATGCATTTTCAGAACTTTGACATTTTGTGGACTCTGTAAAATCTTCACACACTACCCTATCCTCCCAAACCCCACTTCCTCCCACCACACACACAGGAAATATTACATAGGTTTCCAGTTTTTTATTTTGCTAAATGAGGACCTTAAAAATAGATCAAACAGTGAAAATAAGTAAACAAAAATAAATCAACACTGCCTCTCACCACAGTACCAAAGATATCCTATATAATGAAAGGCTAATATGCAAATCAACCAATTGGCAGAATGACCAGTCACTATGACATGCACTGACCACCAGGGGACAGATGCTCAATGCAGGAGCTGCCCCCTGGTGGTCAGTGTACTCTCACAGGGGGAGCACCACAAAGCCAGAAGCCAGAGGCTGGAATTATAGCTGGCAAGCACAGCGGTGGTAGTGGGTGCCCACCTCCGCAGCAATGCTAAGGACTCCTCGGAGGATGTCCACAGGGAGTGGGCCTAAGCTGGCAGGCAGACATCCCCTGACAGTCTCTGGACTGTGAGAGGGCACAGGCCAGGCTGAGGGACCCCATCCTCACCCTCAATGCACAAATGTCATGCACCAGGCCTCTAATCTATAATAATTCTATAATAATAAAAGCATGATATGCTAATTAGACCGGAAGCTGGCACTGCAAGGGAAGCCTGGTCCTGGGTGCCCGCCGGCAGCCTGAGGGAGGCTGGCGCCGGCGCCGGCAGCCAGGGGAAGGAAGGCCTGCTCTTCCACAAATTTCATGCATTGGGCCTCTAGTAAATGAATAAAAATCTAGGAAGAGCACAGTCTTGTAATATAGTCTTTGTTTAAATTGAATACATTTAGCTCTAGGCAAAACTCACTTTATTTTCCTCTTTAAAAAAAATATTTGGCTATAAATTAATGAGTACTTTCTCATGGGTGACATTTAAGAACTGCTGCTTAATACTTGGAACAATACACTTATAAGATGTACTACCTGAATACCATGAATAGGCACATATCTTATGTCTTCTGTTTTTTTTACCAGTTCGGTCCTTTGGTACCGAAGACAGACCAACAGATCGTCCAATACCACCTCGAGATGAAGTCTTTGAATACATTATATTCCGTGGAAGTGATATTAAAGACCTCACTGTTTGTGAGCCGCCAAAACCACAATGTTCTTTGCCTCAGGACCCAGCTATCGTTCAGGTAACTGATAATAAGTTTGTCTTGGCGTTCACATAAACTTGATGCACATGGCTAGCTTGGCTTTTGCCATTCCTGGGTTTTCAGGGTTTTGTTTGTTTGTTTCTCAGTTGAATGCCCACAAATAGCTTATCGTTTTCTATTTCCCTAGATACCTAAAATACCTGGATAATGCTTCATCTAGGTTTTTCTCTCTATCAGGCGTCTTCAAACTACGGCCCGCGGGCCACATGTGGCCCGCAGAGGAGTCTGATCCGGCCCGCCAGGTTTTTTGGGCAGTGAGCGCAGCCGAGGTGTTACAGTAGGAATTAGTAGTTCATATAGTCCAGCCCTCCAGCTCTCTGAGGGACCGTGATCTGGCCCCCACTTTAAAAAGTTTGAGGACGCCTGCTCTAGATCATAAGAAACTAAATAAAGTCTGAAATAGCTAATGAATTTATTTTTATCATAAAATATTTTCTAATTTCAACATCAGTTAAAATGTTTATCAAGATCTAATTATATGAGAAGCACTATTCAAACCACTACACATAAAAGTCAATCCTCACACCACCCTTTTTTTGTGCTATGAGTGATAAAAATCTGTTTCCCACAAATCAGATTTTTTTTTTTAAGAAAGGCCCCTCTTGGCCTCATATATATATATATAATTGATTTTTTTATATAGAGTCAGAAACATCGATGAGAGAGAAAGACCAATCAGCCGCCTCTTGCACACCTCCTACTGGGGATGTGCCCGCAACCAAGGCACATGCCCTTGACCGGAATCGAATCTGGAACCCTTCAGTCCGCAGGCTGACACTCTATCCCTAAGCCAAACCGATTTCGGCACAAATCAGATTCTTAAAGTACATATTATCTTATACACAATTTGTCTCTTAGTTATTAAAAAGTGCCTCAGGAACTCTTCTAATATAAAATTAAAAGAGAAAAAAAGAAAAGAGACCTTTTAACATTTATTTTCCACTCATTTTTCTTGAGTATAAGACAAGCTTTTTAATAAGAAATGGTAAATTTTATTTTTGTAATATAAACTAGAGAAATTATTTACTCTCATCCTCTCTCTTTTATTTTGTTTTATTGTTGACAGTATTATTGGTGTCCCCCTTTTCCCCCCCAATTGCCCATCTCCACCCAGTACCCACCCAACCCCACACTTTTACCACCCTATTGTCTGTGTCCATAGGTAAAGCATATCCTATATAATAAAGGGGTAATATACAAATTGACCCTAATGGCAGAACAACCAGGAACAATCAGTCACTATGATGCACACTGACCACGCGGGGGCACACACTCAACATGCAACTGCCCCCTGGTGGTCAGTGTGCTCCCACAGGGGAGCACCGCTCAGCTACAAGCCGGGCTGGCAGCTGGGGCGGTGGCAGGAGCCTCTCCTGCCTCCGTGGCAGCGCTAAGGATGTTCAACTGACAGGTTAGGCCCTCTCCCTGAGGGCTCCCAGACTTCAAAAGGGTGCAGGCTGGGCTGACGGAACCTCCCCCAGACCTCCCGAGTGCACATATGTCATGCATCAGGCCTCTAATATGCATATAAGATCTTTGAATAGTCTCTCCTGGTCCCTCTCCCCCCCTTCCCTCTGAGATTCCTCAGTCTGTTATTTTATATTTCAGTGCATCTTGATTCTATTTTATTCATCAGTTTATTTTGTTCATTAGATATTTTTGTTCATTTATTTTAATTTTTAGATTCAATGGTTGATTATCCTCTCCTTAAGTCTTAAGTTTGAGGAAGTAAGTCTGTAGGAATCCTGAGATAATCTGGTTTCTTAAATGGAGGGAGAAGAGACACATTCTAATAGAAATAGCTGCCCTCACCAGCAATTTTCAATTGGTCTGCCACAAGAATTGTTAAAACTTGAAATGCCTGACTATTTACCCAATTGCCCCCTCCCTGCTGACCTGGTTGCCCCTAACTGGACCCCCATCCCTACCCCCCCCCCCCGCCAGAGTGTTTGCCCCTAACTGCCCCACTGCTGGCCTGGTCATCCCTTACTAACCCCCCTGCCAACCTGGTCACCCCACGCAGCCTGCTGTTCAGTTATTTGGTCATCCCTCAGTAACCCCCCTGCCGCCCTGGTTGCCCCACACAGCCTGCTTGTTCATTTGTTTGGTCATCCCTCACTAACCCCCCTGCCAGCCTGCTTGTAGGCTGCCATGTTGTGAGGGCGTGAGGGTTAATTTGCATATTACATCTTTATACTCTAGAATACTAGGGGCCCAGTGGCACAAAATTCATGCATGGGTAGGGTCCCTAGGCCTGGCCAGCAATTAGGACCAATCAGGGCCTTCCTTCGTTCTCACCACAACGTGGTAGTTTGCACGTCATAGCGAGTGATCAGTCTCCTAGTAAAACTCCCACAGGAACAATTGCATTTAGGCTTTTATGGATGGATGGATGGATGATTGATAGATAGATAGATGATAGCTTTTGATAATTCTCCTGGGAACCAGTTATTTAAGTAATCAGCCTTATGGAATGAGAAAAATCAAAGAGAACTCAAATCAAATTGTATTGAATTGGATCCTTTTTTTTTTTTTTTTTTTTTAATTTCAGAGAGGAAGGGAAAGAGATAGAAACATCAGTGAATAGAGAATCATCTACCAGCTGCTTCCTGCATGCCCCCTACTGGGGATCAAGCCTGCAATCCAGGCATATACCCAATCCAGAAATTGAACCAGGATCTCCTAATTCATAGGTTGATGCTCCACCACTGAGCATCACTGGTCGGGTATCTTTTGAACTTTATTTTTTTTTAATATATTTTTATTGCTTTCAGAGAGGAAGGGAGAGAAAAATAGAAACATCATTGATGAGAGAGAATCATTGATTGGCTGCCTCTTGCACGCCCCCCACTGGGGACCGAGCCCAAAACCCAGGCATGTACCCTTGACCAGAATCAAACCAGGGACCCTTCAGTTCGTAGGCCAGCCCTTCATCCACCGAGTCAAACAAACCAGGGGAATTTTTGAACTTTTAATTCATTTATTGAGCACCTACCCTGTTTTCCCAAAAATAAGACAGTGTCTTATATTAACTTTTGCTCCCAAAGATGCGCTAGGTCTTATTTTCAGGGGGTGTCTTATTTTTCCATGAAGAAGAATACGGTACACATTTATTGTTAAATGAAAATAAAGGAAATTTATTACTTGTATACGGTACGGTAGTTGTCAACACAAACCAGACAAACTGTGAATCCTACAGTATCAAGAATTTACTTATTTATTCAATGACAGTCATGTCATCATCTTCTGGAACATCATCATAACAATCCAATTCCTGAATTTCCTGGTGAATTTCTTGTGACTCCATTTCTTTCAGAATCAGTAGACCAAATCTCTCATGTTTAGCCTAGGGGGGGCCTTATTTTTGGGGGATGCCTTATATTTCACTTAGAAGGAAACCTGTAAGTAGGTCTTATTTTCGGAGGATGTCTTATTTTCAGGGAAACACGGTACCATGTGCCTGGTACTAGCAGTGAATACACAGACAAGTCCTACCATCAGTGAGCTTATATGCCAGTAGTTGTTATTACACTTCATATTTATATTATGAAACTAGAGGCTCAGTGCATGAAAATTTATGCACTAGAGGGGGTGTCCCTCAGCCTAGCAATCAGGAGAGGGCAACTCCCCCATCACACCTCTGCTGCTGCCTCTGCCGGCAGCATAAAGCCTTCGCAAGCCCTGGTTACCTGAGCCTCAGGTGGCCCTGGGGGGCTGGGCAGCCAACATCCAAGACTTGCTTTTGCCTCAGGCTTTGGCTGGGCAGTTGACATCCAAGGCTTGCCTGCACCTTGGGCTGGCCCTGTGGGCTGGGAAGCTGCCATCTGAGGCCTGCACCTCAGGCTTCAGCTGGGCAGCCAACATCCAAAGTTTGCCTTTGCCTTCAGCTGGCCCTGAGTGGCTGGGCAGCTGCTATCTGAGGCTTGCCTGGGCCTCAGGCCGGCCCTGGGTGACTGAGGGGACTGGGGGACTCTGCAGGCAAGCGCCCCAGCAGGATTGAAGGGACTGGGTGTCGCCATCTTTGAGGGCATGGCACTCAATTAACATATTCCCTCCTTACTGGCTGTGGGCGCCACCATTTTGCGATGGCATGAGGGTCAATTAGCATATTCCCTCTTTGTTAGGTAGGATATTTTATATTAAGATAAATTCATATTATAAATGTTTGTGTATCTGCCAAAACCGGTTTGGCTCAGTGAATAGAGCATCGGCCTGCGGACTGAAGGGTCCCAGGTTCGATTCCTGTCAAGGGCATGTACCTTAGTTGCGGGCACATCTCCAGTAGGGGGTGTGCAGGAGGCGGCTGATCGATGATTCTTTCTCATTAATGTTTCTAACTATCCCTCTCTCTTCCTCTCTATAAAAAAAATCAATAAAATATATATATATTTTTAAAGTCATCAGTAAAATGTTAAATAAAGAAATGTTTGTGTATCTACATATTTAATTATATTTCAGGTTTAGTAACAAATGCTTTTTTAATATTTTCTTTAACTTGATAACTATGTTTAAAAATTAAATTTTTGTGTGGAATACTTTGTTTTTCCATCTCTTTCCTGTAAATTTAATAGTGCACTTCAATTGATAGAAAATAAGAGTAAATGCAAAAGTGAGATGTCTTATTTGTCAACATGGATTTAAAACTCAATATAACCAAGTATGACTTTTCATGTTTTTTCTCTTTAAGCAAAGTTATTTTACTTGATAGCCAAGTAACTTTTCTTCAGTTTTTTCCTAAATCTGCTATAAAACTCTTTACTCAAAGGAGGAGGTTATTGTAGAAAAAAAGTATATATCATGAGTATAAAATTAGCACATATAGCCCTTGAACAACACAGAATTTGGGGGTGCAACCCTCACACAATAAAACATCCACGTGTATTTTTCTTAACTTCTATTCTGCAAAAGATACTTTTTTTTTTAAATCCTCACTTGAGGATATGTTGTTTTCTTTTTTCATTGATTTTAGAGCAAGGGGGAGAGAGAGAGAGAAACATCATCAATCAGTTGCCTCCTATGCGGCCCCCTACCATGAATTGAACCTGCAACCTTTTGGTGTATAGCAAGCATGTCATACTCATGGCCACGTTCCTCATTTATTTGGCCTGTGTTAGCCTTTGAGTTTGACATGGTTGGTGCACAAGATGATACTCCAGCCAACTGAACCATCTATCCAGGGCCACATGTAACTTTCGACTCCCCAAAACTTAGCCATAGTTGTTTCTTAGATTGTGCGGGTTATTGGTTCGAGGACTGTCTATAGATACCAAAATCTGTGGATGCTCAAGTCCTTTACATAAATTGGTGTATAACAACACATACAATGGACCCTCTCCATTTATTGAGTACTGACTATATTGAAAAAAATTCACATATAAATGAACCCTCACAGTTCAAACCTGTGTTGTTCTAGGGTCAGCTAGGTACACAAATAGTGAAATCAGATTATCCAACTGTTCTAATGTTAAATGCATGTTGTAAGATTATAATTGCTGTTGTGTCTAGTAGTTATAATTTAATAGTTTTCTTAAAAGTGTAAATACTCAAATTTCTTTCCATTATATGTATGTTGTTTAAAGCTTGAAAAAAATAACTCATGGTTTTTCTTCAGTCTTCTCTAGGTTCATCTACTTCTTCATTCCAGTCAGTGGGTTCCTATGGACCTTTTGGCAGGATGTCGACATACAGTCAGTTCAGTCCAAGTTCATTAGTCGGGCAGCAATTTGGTGCTGTTGGTGTTGGTATGTTTTTCTTTTCTTTTCTTATAACCACGTGCTTTTAGACCTTGTTTGATACTCCTTTTGTAGGCTGTTACTGTATTTTAAAGGCTTTATTTAATGTCCTCATTGACCAGTGGTTCTAAAATTGTCATCTCTTGGCCCCGGCAAAGTAGCTCAGTTGGTTAGAATATCATCTCAATGTGCCAAGGTTGTGGTCCAGTCAGGGCACATACAATAATTAACCATTGAATGCATAAATAAGTGAAACAACAAAATTGATACTTCTCTTTCTCTCTTTCCCTCTCTCACTTTTGTCTCCCTCCCTCCCTTCTTCCTTCTTTAAAATCAATAAATAAAATGGTCATTTCAAAAGAGTCACTTTTAAAAAACACAAAAAACCTGGATATATATCCAATGATTAGATTTCATTGAATATTATTTTAAGTTTACATAAGATATATACATTTAAAATAAGTTTGTTGTTTTTTAAAAAATATATTTTATTGATTTTTAACAGAGAGAAAGGGAGAGAAATAGAGAGCTAGAAACGTCGATGAGAAGAGAAACATCGACCAGCTGCCTCTTGCACACCCCGTACCGGGGATGTGCCTACAACCAAGGTACATGTCCTTGACTGGAATTGAACCTGGGACCTTTCAGTCCGCAGACCGATGCTCTACCACTGAGCCAAACCAGCTTCAGCAGATTTTTGTTTTGTTTTTTGTTTTTTCAGTGGAATAGATTTTCAAAAAGGGATTGGAGGTAATGCCATTGTGAATAGGGAATATTAATGCCATTAAGGAGTATTTATGTTATGTTGAATGTGGGTGATTGTTCCATTACCTATGAAAGATGCTTACATATAGCATATTTGGGGGCTTGGTGCTTTGTTTATAGTAACAGTGTTTTAGAAATATGACACTATATGAAGAATGTGTGGGAGAGCTGGGCTAATAACAAACAGTTCTACTTAAAAGGACAAAGGCCATTCATTGTGTGCAAAAGCTAGATGTAATCAGATCAACTTGGTGTTGAGTTGTTCTGTTTTGTTTTTATGTCTTAGTATGCTAATGAGTTTTGTTAAAATTACTTTTTTTATATAATTGTAACTTTTCAAGTATGTAAATGTTTGACTTACTCACAATATAAAAAAGGATAGGGACAAAGGTGAATCCCAAAATTGAATGAATATAAGCTGAAGCAACTGGTATTAAGTATATATCAAATCGATAACAATAGCTACATAGGAAAAAGGTATTTAATTTAAATAACTTTTGCACTCTTAATAGGATATATGGTAGTAAGTAGAACTATTAAAAATTTTTGACTTGGAGTTTGTAATTGGTAGTGGTATAGGTGTTAACTTTGAAACCTTTTTTAAAAATATTTTTTTATTGATTTCAGAGAGGAAGGGAGGGAAAGACAGAAATATGAGTGCTGAGAGAGAATCATTGATTGGCCGCCTCCTGCACACCCCCACTGAGGATCGAGCCTGCAACCCAGGCATATACTCTGACTAGGAACCAGGAATCAAACTGTGACTTCCAGGGTCATAGGTCTGCACTCAACCACTGAGCAACACCGGCCAGGCAATTTTGAAACCAATTTGTATGTATAATGGGGTAAGGAAAATTAGTAGTATGTTAATTTTGTTGGGAAGTGGTGTGGAGAAGGGATATAAAAATATGGAATGGGGAAGGTACGGAAAAACCCTGTGATATTGAAGGCAAATTGGAGGTATGAGAATTAACTCATAAAAAAAAACAAAAAACTGCTTATTTCCTGACTGACAGGCCTACAAGCAGTGATATCCCGTAGCAAAGAACATGTGTAGACCCTATTTTTGGTTTCTAAATACCATTCCCCACTAAAAGAAGGGGAACCTTACTCTTTTTTAACAGAAAAATACCAGCTAATAAAAAGTAAGGAATGATAATAGAAAATCACCATTTAATAATCTGGTGTAATAATTAGCAGCACTATTATCAGTGGATGCTAAAATCATTGAGTGAATGGTGTTGAAACAGTATATTAAAATGGCCTTAAGGTAGGTATTCAACCCACAATTTACTTACTAATTACAAGTGGGGGAGGGGGGGAGTGTTGTGCCTTTATAATGGAACTAAGAGGCCCAGTGCATGGGATTCGTACACTGGTGGTGGGGCAGGGGTGTGACCTGTGGGGATCAGCCTGCTGTGGGAGCACTGCTCATCCCAGTCAGCCTAGCAGCTGTGGGCCCACCCTCTGAGCGGCTGCTCCCTGGTCCAAAATCTTACTTGGAGCCGGAGCACTCACCTCTCTAAGGGACCTGGTTGGGGCCAGTCCCAGGAAAAAATAGCACTTAGAGGCAGCAGAGTAGGCCTTAGTCTGTGGCAGCCACAAACTGCCTCCCAGCAGCAGCCTGCGGACTTCTAGAGGAGGTAGCAGGGAGTGAGGAGGAGGAGCCTGGGGTGAGGAGGCGAAAATCAATTGCAATCCATCGCAGCCAGGTTCTTGCCCAGGCCTGAGGTTCCCTGTGGGAGCCACTCCTCATTCCAGCCAGCCAAGTGACACTCCCACTGTGGTAGCGCACTGACCACCAGGGGGCAGCTCCTAAATTGAGCATCTGCCTCTTGGTGGTCAGTACGTATCATAATGACTGGTCTACCGGTTGTTCTGGTCATTCAGGCATTACGTCGCTGGGCTTTTATTATATAGGATGTTATATAGGATGATTTGGTAGTCACCATCTTAATCAGATTGTCAAGTTTGACATTGCCATAGTTAAATAATTAAATCTCTCTGGATGTAATGATATAGGGGAAGAGAAAGAGGTTACCCAGCTCTCTGGTGTTCCTTTGATGTTCTTGCTGAAAATGCACATTCTAGCCGAAACTGGTTTGGCTCAGTGGTAGAGCGTCGGTCTGCAGACTGAAAGGTCCCGGGTTCGATTCGGTCAGGGGCATGTACATTGGTTGTGAGCACATCCCCGGTCGGGGGTGTGCAAGAGGCAGCTGGTCGATGTTTCTCTCTCATCGACGTTTTTAGCTCTCTATCTCTCTCCCTTCCTCTCTGTAAAAAATCAATAAAATATATTTTAAAAAAAGAAAGAAAGAAAAAAGAAAATGCACATTCTAATCGTGAAGAAATGTTACATATGTATCCAGAAGTCCAAACTCTTCAAAGAATTCAGTGTTGTAAAATACAGACTTGGGGAGACTAAAGAGACATACCATCCAAATATGTGATTAGATCTGGGTTTTGTAAAAAAAATTATCTGAAGAACATTGTAGGGACTCCTGAGGAACTTTGGGTATGTTGGATGGTGTTATTTTGTTGATTTTCCTAGATGTGGTAATGGTTTTGTGCTTAACTATGTAAAAGAATGTCTTTTTATTGGAGAGATAGTTTTGAAGTATTTAGGGGTGTTTATACTCTACATTGGCAAAAGAGAAGTGTGTATATCATAAAGAAATAAAGAAACAGTAGGCCTAAAAAGATGTTAGCAGTTGATGAATTTAGATAAAGATTATCAGTATGCAAGTGTATACTCTCAATTTTGACATAGGTTTGACATTTCTTAAAATTAAAAACTGTAAATAGTTCATTCTTTTTAGACTTATTCTTGGATAGGTGAAATAATATAACTTTTTTTTTTTTAATATATTTTATTGATTTTTTACAGAGAGGAAGGGAGAGGGATAGAGAGCTAGAAATGTCAATGAGAGAGAAACATTGACCAGCTGCCTCTTGCACACTACTCCCTACCGGGGATGTGCCCGCAACCAATGTACTTGCCCTTGACCGGAATCAAACCTGGGACCTTTCAGTCCGCAGACCGACGCTCTACCACTGAGCCAAACTGGTTTCGGCGAAATAATATAACTTTTATTCATGTACCTCCCAAACCTACTCAAGCAGTAAGACTAGTGTTAATTATACATATTAAATCTAGATATATCCTATGTTAGCTATAACTGTTTAGAATACTATTCAAAGAGACAATTGCAAATTATATTATTCTTTTAAACTCACTAAATCAGATATTTGATAAACATTGGTATTATTATTGTACTTATCTCCTACTTTACTGTGAATTCTGAATGACTTAATATGTATAAAGCATTTGAACAAGTCTTAACACAGTGTCTACCTAGTAAATATTGCTCTGCCATTCTTCATAGCCTGCCCCTCTAATCAAAGTATTTTGTGATGATGAAATATATGTGCCTTGTAAGTGCTTTTGTTTAATTTTAATATTATTGGAGGTTAATGGTGTGGTGTTCTTTGGGTATCACAGAGGCAGTGTTTTCCGTGCTGGTAGGGTAATTTTTGTAGTGGCAGGTTCTTTTTAGATTGTTTGATTTTCATATTGGTAGGATAATTTGTCAAATGGCTTATTAGAGAACATATATTTTAAAGTTGTGCCAGCCAGTGTTGCTCAGTAGTTGAGAGTCGACTCATGAACCAGGATGCCATAGTTCAATTCCTTGTCAGGGCACATACCTCAGTTGCAGGCTTGACTCCCAGCTCTGGTCTCCACCCCTGCAGGAGGCAACCAATCAATGTGTTTGTCTATCATCGATTTTTCTCTCTCTCTGTTCCTCCCCCCCTCCGTTCCACTGTCTCTAAAAATCAGTGGAAGAAATGGGTGATGATTAAAAAAACAAAATTAAAGTTAAGTGAGGAGAAAAACTATAGCATTGATTAAGGTGAAAATTAACTAAAATATAGTCTGTGTTGACACAAATTAAGCCAGATTTTAAGCTATCTCTTGTTTTCAACTTGTTTTTTACATTCTCACCTGATAAAAAGAGACAGAGATGGACATTATCTTTATGTACAATATAAAAGCCTAAGTGATCATTCAACCATTTGACTGGTAGCTCTGACGCGCACTGAACACCAGGTGGCAGACACTTCCACCTGTAGGTTAGCTTGCTGCTGGGGTCCGACCAATTAGGACTGGGCAAGATGGATCGGACATGCTCTGGACCCCTACCACGGTCCCTCCCCAACCTCAATTGTGCACCAGTGGGGTCCCTTGGCCTGACCTGCGCCCTCTCTCAATTAGGGACCCCTTGGGGGCTGTCACAGAGCCGGTTTTGGCCCAATCCTCACTGGCCAGGCTGAGGGACCCCACCGGTGCACGAATCCGTGCACCGGCCTCTAGTCTATACTAATAAAAGTGTAATATGCTTATTAGACCAGGAGACCTTCCAAACATCCTTCCTGACAAAGCCATGGTGGCGGGGCTGAGGCAGAGGTGGATAGGGACATCAGGCTGGGAAGGAGTGCAGTTGGGGATGAACAGGCCAGCAGGGAGGCAGTTGGGGGTGAGCAGGCTGGCAGGGGGCAGGCGAGGCAGTTGGGGGTGATCAGGCCGAAAGGGGGGACAGGCACTTGGAGGTGATCAGGCCAGCAGGGGGCAGTGGGAGCGATCAGGCCAGCATGGGGTGGGCACTTGGAGGCCAGCAGGGGAAGCAGTTAGGGGCGATCAGGCCAGGGGGAGGGGCAATTGAGGCTGAGCAGGCCAGCAAAGGGGCAGATGGGGGTGAGCAGGCCAGTGGAGTGGAGGGGCAGTTGGAGGCGAGGAGGCTGGCTGGGGACGAGCAGGTTGGCAGGCAGAGTGGTTAGGGGCAATAAGACAGGCTGGCAGATGAGCAGTTAGGAGCCAGCAGTCCCGGATTGTGAAAGGGATGTCTGACATTGGAGAGGATGCAGGCCCTGCCCCACACCCCCATTGGCAGCTCTAGGAACTTCATCCAAACAGAAAATGTGTGTGTGTGTGTGTGTGTGTGTGTGTGTGTGTGTGTGTACACACACACACACGCACGCACGCACAATTCTAATATGCAAATAGACTGAACGGCAGAACAACCAGTCTCTATGACATGCGCTGACCACCAGAGGGTGTGCACAGGACATTGCGGACGTCGGCAGCAGGCAGGATGGTGGAACAGGAGAGCAGGGGTGCCAGACTAAGGCAGGGTAGGGTGCAGGTTGCTGTCATAAGGACGAGCCTCTGGTGATTACTGAAAATTCTTTGTTCCTGCCCGCTGCAGTCGGCACTCGCACCTGCTTCCGAGCTGACCCTTCTCACATCCGCTGCCAGTGCCAAAGCCACTGCTCATAACTGCTGCCAGCACCTGGCACCCAGCCCCAATCACTCAGCACCGTCAGCAGGTCTGAGCGGCAGCTGCTGGACCCCATCACCCCTCGGGACTTCTCCATCTCCCCTGCTCCTGAGGGGCAATCGGGGCTGGCAGCCACTGCTCGCACCAGCCCCAATAGTTCCATACCATCTGTGGGTACAAGTGGGGCTGGCACTGTCAGTGTGAGGCAGCAGCGGTGGCTGGAGCCGGGGGCCAGCAGAAGGGGCTAGGTGGGGGCACGAAGAATGGGCCGAGACCTGCTCCTGTGCCCACCACAGCCTCACGCCCACAGTTCCTTTTCAAGGTGCACAAATTCGTGCACTGAGCCCCTCGTAAAAAGAATATCACCATTAAATGACACATTAGACCAAATGGGTATAATTGATGTTTACAGAGCCTTTCATCCCAGAATATCAGATTATACATTCTTCTCCAGTGCACATGAAACATTCTCATCCAAGATTTCTTTTCTTTTTGTGTGTGTGTTGGGGGGGGGGGGTTGTTTGTTTGTTTGTTTGTTTGTTTTAGAAAGAAAGGAAGGGGAGAGCAACATCTATCAGTTGTCCCCCATACTCACCCCCCGGCACTGAACCCTCAACCTGGGCATGTGCCCTGACCTTTCATTGCAAGGGACAACACTCAACCAACTGAGCCACACCGGACAGGGCAAGCACTATTTTTTTAAGCTGAAATAATTCTTGTGTGTGACAATTAGGTCATTATTAACTTTAGTGATTTACCACCGACCCTTAGGAAAAATTAATTATCTCACAATAAATAAAGAAGCAAAGCAATCATGGCATGCTGTTTAAGGCTCATAATACTATTATGGGCAATATTGGCTGAACAGACAGACAGATGGATATATTTTATTTAAACTGGTTAACTAGTCAAATCATATTGCATGACGATTCTTAGTCTCCAGTATTTTGTACAGATTAATTTTTAATTGAGTTTGATGAATACCTAGAAGCATGCTTATGAACTTTACAGTTATAAAACTGGAGGTTATTTCATGCATTAGAACTAACAGACTAAAGGGTTGTTAAAGATGTACTTTAGTAAAGTGTGAAAGAACAGAGGTTATCAGACTGATTAAAAAAAAAAAAAAAGATCAAACTATATGATGTTTACTAGAGGCCCAGTGAACAGATTCATGCACTGGTGGGGTCCCTAGGCCTGGACTGCCAAGGGGTCCTGGACATCCCCTGAAAGGTCCCAGATTGTAAGAGAGCACCCCACTGGTGTAGGATCAGAGCCAGGGAGGAACTACGGGAAGGCTCCAGGGCGTGTCCGGCCCGTCTCACCCAATCCCAATTGGTCAGACCACAGCAGCAAGCTAACCTACCAGTCGGTACATCTGCCCCCCTGGTGGTCAATGCGCGTCATAGTGACTGGTCAAACCGTCAGACATGTAGCATGTTAGGCTTTTATTATATAGGATTATATAGGATGAGAAATGCACCAAAAGACAGAAATAGCTATAACATATCACACAAACACTGTTAATAAAACTGTTAGTTAAATGAACATCAGACAAAACATGAGAAGTACTATCAGAGATAAAGTGATTCTTCATAACGGCATGGAGAATAGGCAGCTCATCAGGAAGTTATAACCTAAATGTGTGTGTAACTTTTATAAAAATAGAATACCCAACTATTGTAGAAAATAGATTCTTTTCTAATAAAAATAGACCAGTCAATGGGGTAGATCAAATCCGGGGCTATAAAACAAGTACATTAAATTCAGAATGACAGAAAGCATTCATGGTGCCAAAACCAGTTTGCCTCAGTGGATAGAGTGTCGGCCTGCAGACTGAAAGGTCCTGGGTTTGATTCCGGTCAAGGGCATGTATCTTGGTTGCGGGCACATCCCCAATGGGGGGTGTGCAAGAGGCAGCTGATCGATGATTCTCTCTCATCGATGTTTCTAACTCTCTGTCCCTCTCTCTTCCTCTCTGTAAAAAATCAATAAAATGGTGTGGTTTTTTTTTTAAAGAAAGAAAGCATTCATGGTATCTTCTCAAGTCACAAAAAAATTAAATTTGGAATTAATAATGATAACCTGAAAATATCCTAATAATTGGAAATTGAGAAAACTTGTAAACCACTAACGAATCAAACAAGCAATCATAAGGGAAATTAGCAAAAAACAATTTTTTAATTTAAAGTTTATAAAATGATACAACTCCTATAGCAGTATGTTTACAGATACATCTCCTAGGGCAAAGGAAACTAAAGAGAAAATAAACAAATGGGAATTCATAAAAATAAAAAGCTTCTGCACAGCACAAAAAAAAAAAAAAAAAACATCAACAAACTGAAAAGAGAGCCCACTGGATGAGAGAATTTATTTGGCAATGATACATCTGATAAAGGATTAATATCCAGCCGGGACTGGTTTGGCTCAATGGATAGAGCGTCGGCTTGGGGACTGAAGGGTCCCAGGTTCGATTCCGATTAAGGGCATGTACCTTGGTTGCGGGCATATCCCCAGTAGGGGGTGTGCAAGAGGCAGCTGATCGATGACTCTCTCATCGATGTTTCTAACTCTCTGTCTCCCTTCCTCTCTGTATAAAATCAATAAAAAAATATATTTTAAAAAAATTAATATCCAAAAAATATAAGGAACTCATACAATCCAATTAAAAGGAAGACAATCAAATTTTAAAATGGGCAAAGGACCTAAATAGACACTTCTCTAAAGTGAACATACAAATGACCAAAGGACATAAAAAATTGCTCAGAGTCACTGATCATCAGAGACATACAAATTAAAATGACAAATAAGGTATTACCTCACACCTGTCAGATGGCTACCATCAACAAATGACAAGTGCTGGCAAGGATGTGGAGAAAAGGGAACCCTCGTGCACTGTTGGTGGGAATGCAGACTGGTGTAGCCATTATGGGAAACAGTATAGAATTTCCAAAAAAATTAAATGTGAAACTGCCATTTGACCCAGTTTCTTAGGAATATATCCTAAGAAACCTGAAACACCAATCAGAAAGAAAGTATGCACCCCTATGTTCATAGCAGCACAATTTACAATAGCTCGGGTTTGGAAACAGCCCACGTGCCCATTATTTGGAGAGTAGGTTAAAAAAAGCTGTGATACATTTATACCATGGAATATTATGTAGCAGTAAAAAGGATCTCTTACCCTTTGAGACAGCCTGGAGGAACCTGGAGAGTATTATGCTTAGCAAAAATAAACAAGTCAGAAACACAGGTATCACATGATCACACTCATGTGGAATTTAATGAACAAAATAAACTGGTGAACAAAATGGATCCAGAGGCATACCAGCATGGAACAGACTGCAGTATATCAGAGGGAAGGCAGGGGAGGGAGCGTAGATGGGAACTGATCAACCAAAGGACTGTGTGCATATGTGCGTAACCCATGAACACAGACTAGAGTGAAGTCCTGTGATGAGCGGTGGGGGATGGACTAGAAGGGTTAATGGGGAGGGAACATATGTAATACTTTCAACAATAAAGGTTTAAATAAATGGCCGAATCCGGTTTGGCTCAGTGGATAGAGCGTCGGTCTGCAGACTGAGGGGTCCCAGGTTCGATTCCGGTCAGGGGTATGAACATTGGTTGCAGGCACATCCCCAGTAGGTGGTGTGCAAGAGGCAGCTGATCGATGATTCTTTCTCATCGACATTTTTAGCTCTATCCCTCTCCCTTCCTCTCTGTGGAAAATCAATAAAATATATTTAATTTTTTAAAAAAAGATTTAAATAAATGAAGTTTATAAAATGCAGCATACCAAAATTGACATTGAGCTTAATTAAGCATTGCTGCTGAGGGAAAATTCCATGCCTTTAAGTACATATATTAGAAAACAAGAATGTTTTAAACTCAGTATTGTAAGCTACCAGCGTAAGCTAGAAAAACAGAAATTTGGTCCAAAAGTGGCAGAAGGAAGAAGAAAATTTTAAAGCAGAAAACAAAATAGTAGAAACAAACCAACAGTTGGTTCTTTAAGAATTTTCATTAAATTAATAAGCCCTTATCAAGACAGATCAAGACAGCCCTAACTGGTTTGGCTCAGTGGATAGAACTTTGGCCAGTGGGGAGTGTGCCGGAGGCAGCTGATAGATGTTTCTCTCTCATTGATGTTTCTAACTCTCTATTCTTCTCCCTTCCTCTCTGCAAAAAAATCAATAAAATATTGTTATTGTTTTTTTGTTTTAAACTGATTAAGACAAAAAGGAAGACCCACATCACCAATATCAATTGGTTTGGAACATCGTCCTGTACAACAAAATTTTGCAGGATTGATCTTCAGTGGGTTGGGAGGCAACTGTTCAATGTTTCTCTCTCACATTTCTCCTCTCAAAAATCAATAAACATAAACTTGGGTGAGGAAATTTTTTTTTAACCGAAGCCCTGGCCTGGGTTGCTCAGTAGTTAAGAGTGTCAGCCTGCTCACCAAAGAGTCTCGGGTTCAATTCCTGGTCAAGGGCATGTTCCTGAGTTGCAGGTTTGTTCCCTCCCACAACCCTCCTTTCCACTGTCTGAAAAACAGTGCAAAAAATATCCCCAGGTGAGGATTAACAACAAAAAAGAAAGAGTAGACATCACTATATATCCTAAAAGAATATGAAAATATTGTTCATAGTATCGATAAATTTGACATCTTAGGTAAATTCCTTTGAAAATAAAACTTTCCTAATCTAACATAACAGGAAATAAATCTCAAAGAAAAAAGCTGTTAAAGAAATTGAAGCTATAACAATCTCTCACAAAGAAAATTCTAGACTGTTTGCTTTACTGATAAATTCTACCACTTAAGGAAGTAATACTTTTACCAGTCTTAACACAAAATCTTTGAGAGAATAAAGGAAGAGGAATACTTCCTAACCAAATAAACGCGGCAACCTGATGATGTCATTACAAGAAAAAAATATTACAGCTCACCATCTCCCATGAACACACATGTTAAAGTTCTTAACACAATATTAGCAGTGAAAGCTAGCCATTCATAAAAAGGAGAGTACATAATGACAAAGTCAGATTTATCTCAGGAATGCAATGCTATAATTCAACACTCATTAATCAACTACTAAGAAATGGGAGGGAATCCTAAATTTGATCAATTAAATGAAAAACTTACATAATGATGAAATAATGAATGCATTTCCATTGGGGTAAGGAATAAAAAGCAAAGGCAAATTTGTCTCAATATTAATGTTGTAGATGTCCTCAATTCAATGAGTCAAGAAGAAAAAATATTTAAAGAATGAAAAGGAAGAATTGAAAGTCTTTATTTGAAAGTGACATGATTATGTACATAGAAAATGCAAAAGGCCCTGGCTGGTTTTTCTCAGTGGGTAGAGCATTGGCCTGCGGACTGAAGGCTCCCGGGTTCGATTTTGGTCAGTGGCACATGCCTGGCTCTTGGACTCAATCCCCACTAGGGGGCGTACAGGAAACAGCCAATTCATGATTCTCTCTCTGAAATCAATAAAAATATTTTTAAAGAAAGAAAATGCAAAGGAATATTCAAACCACTAGAATGAATACGTGAATTTAGTATAATAAGGAGATAAGTGCTAAATATACAACAATCAACTGTAAACCCATGGACATGGACAATAGGTATTGAAGGCCAAGGGAAGGGGAGGCGGTACCAGGTAGAAGGGGGACAAATGAGAGAAATCTGCAATAGTGTCAAAATTAAATATTTTAAATATATTTTATTGATTTTTTACAGAGAGGAAGAGAGGGATAGAAAGTTAGAGACATCAGTGAGAGAGCGTTGTCAATCAGCTGCCTCTTGCACATCCCCTATTGAGGATGTGCCTGCAACCAAGGTACATGCCCTTGACTGGAATCGAACCTGGGACCCCTCAGTCCGCAGGCCAACGCTCTTTCCACTGAGCCAAACCGGTATTGGCTAAAATTAAAATTTTTAATAAAAGAGTAAAATAATGCCCTGGCCAATGAGCTCAGTGGTTAAAGCATCAGCCCTCCCACCAAAGTGTCACAGGTTCAATTCCTAGTCAAGGGCGGATACCTGAGTTTCAGGTTCAATCCCCAGCCCTAGTTGAGGTGGGTGTAGGAGGCACCCAATCCATGTGAATCTCACATCAATGTCTCTCTCTCCTCCTTACATACCCCCTCCCCACCTTGCACTCTAAAAATCAATGGAAAGCAAAAACCTGTTTGGCTCAATGGATAGAGTGTCGGCCTGCGGACTGAAAGGTCCTGGGTTCGATTCCAGTCAAGGATATGTACCTTGGTTGCGGGCATATCCCCAGTAGGGGGTATGCAAAAGGCAGCTGATTGATGTTTCTCTCTCATCAATGTTTCTAACTATCTCTCCTTCTCTGTAAAAAATCAATAAAATATATTTTTAAAGAATAAAAATCAATGGAAAAAATATCCTCTGGTGAGGATTAAATAAATAAATGAATGAATAAAATCAACTGTATTTCTACTTGTATTCTATGATTATCTGTCTGTGTATTCTAGTACAGACAGGTTGGCAAACTATGGCCTGTGAACCAAATTCAACCAGCCTCCTATTGGAACACAGTAACACTCATTTATTTACATGTAGTCTATGTCTGATTTTACAATACAAGGACAAAGTTGGGCAGTTACAAAAGATCATATGGCCTGAAAAGCCTAAAATACATTAACTCTCCGGCCAATTACAGATAAAGTTTGCTGACACCTGATTTAGAATAGATTATTTGGAAATAAAATGTAACATGCAGCACAGCTTAAAATAGCATCAGTAACATCAGGTGCCAGGAATGAATATAACAAAAGATATTTTTAAAACTACAACAGTGGTTTTCAATGGAGGGGAACTTTACCTTCCATCCTCAGGAGACATTTGGTAATGTGTGGACACATTTTTGGTTATCACAACTGGAGGCTACCACTGGTATCTAGTGGGTAGAAGCCAGGGATACTACTTAACATCCTACAATGCATAGACAACCCTTTACAACAAAGAATTACGGTAACTGGCCCAAAATGTCAGTAGTGCTAAAGTTAAGAACACTGCTAAATGTTGGCCTGCAGACTGAAGGGGGTCCTAGGTTCAATTCCAGTGAGGCACATGTCTGGTTGTGGGCTTGATCCCCAGTAGGGGGTGTGCAGGAGGCAGCCAATCAATGATTATCATCATTGATGTTCATATTTCTCTCTTTTTCTCTGAAATCAGTAAAAACCATTTTTTTTTTTTTCTTTGGCCTGTGGACTCAAAGGTCCTGGTCAATCCCAATAAGAGGTGTGCAGGAAGCAGCCAATGAATGATTCTCTCTCATCATTGATGTTTCTGTCTCTCTCCCTCTACCTGTCTCTGAAATCAATAAAAAATATATACATACTTTTTCTTAAAAAGTACACTGCTCTACAATGAAAACCACAAAACATTGCTGAGAGAAATTAAAGATCTAAATCAATGGAGAATTAATCCATGCTTATGGCTTGAAAGATTCACTATTTTTTTTAGTGACTTTTTCCACAAAATTGATTTATAGATTGAACATAACCCTGATCAAAATCTAATCAGACATTTTAAAAATAGCAGTTGACATGACAATTCTAATATATGGAAGTACAAAACCTAGATTAACAAAAACAAAACAAAAAAAAACAGTCTTGAAATTGTTACTGTAAAGTTATAGTAATCAGAACAGTGAATTATTGGCACAAACACATAAAGAATAAAGAAATAGACTCATTTAAATCCTGATTTAAAATAAAGATGGCCAGTGTGACTGAGCATCATCCTATATATCAGAAGGTTGCCATTTCAATTACAGTTCAGGACATGCCTGCTTTGCCAGTAGGGGATGTGCAAGAGACAGCTGATCCATGTTTCTCTCTCTCCCTCTCTATAAAAATAGTAAAAAGTATGCCAACACTTCAGCTTTCCGCCAGCAGGGTGCACACTCTGAGGGAGCTGGCAGTGCTCACGAGATCAGCAGAGGTGAGCTCAACGCAGCCACTCGAGGCAGAACTTGCCCTCTGATCCAACCATTAAATTAAGAGATTTCAATGGAGCCCAGTCTGGACTCACTTGTTCTGAGCCTCACAGGAATGTTTCTCATTCATCTTCTATCGGAGAGGACAACTCTCAAAAAGCCAACATCGTGGTCGTGACAGGTGTGATGTGTAGGGAATGGGCTGGTGTGGACGAGGTCAGCTCACAGGAATCACAGGAAAGGATCAACCCGGGTTTTCTCTCTCTCCCACTTGCACTCACGTGAGCAAGAAAAGCAGCAGCAGGCACAGGGTGGGTGATGGGGTCTTCTGTCCTCCTGCTCCTCATTCCCTGCTCTCTTCTGCCCTGGCAGAGCCAGAGCCGCGCCAACGGGTCTGGTTTGGAGATCAGGAGAGTGAAGAAAGGGGAGGCTGCCCAGGTGGGATGGGAAGGAAGGACAACTACACTGAGATCATCCCGTCACTTTAGATTGTCTTTAAGGATTTAAACTCCTTTATAAAGCACTGATTATACACACAAAAAAAAAAAAGTATGCCAAAACCGGTTTGGCCTAGTGGATGGAGCATCGCGGGTTCGATTCTGGTCAAGGGCATGTACCTTTGTTGCGTGCACATCCCCGGGGGGGGGGGGGGGGGGGGTGCAAGAGGCAGCTGATCGATGATTCTCTCTCATCGATGTTTCTAACTCTCTGTCCCTCTCTCTTCCTCTCTGTAAAAAAATCAATAAAATATATTAAAAATAAAAATAATAATAATATTAAAAAGTAAAAGATGCCAGTGAAGTACAGTGGAAAGAGGAATTTTTTTAAATTAATTTGAGAAAAAGACATCAATTTGTTCTGCTTGTTTATGCATTCGTTGCTGGTTTCTTGTATGTGTCCTCCCTGGATATCAAACCTGAATTTGGTTCACAGGCCATAGTTTGCCAACCTATCTGTACTAGAAATGCCTGCGGCCACATGCGGAAGGCAACCAATGTATCTTTCTCACATGGATGTTTCTGTCTCTCCCCCTCCCTTCAACTCTCTAAAAATCAATAGAAAAAATATCCTCACGTGAGGATTAACAACAACAAAAGAGGGATGGATACACTACTGTGCAGTAGACCGGTGAAAAGGAAAGTGATGAGAGAAGAGGTAGACAGATGAGGAGAAGACCATATAAACGGAGGTGTGTAGGTAGTTTGAACTTTTATCTTTAGAGCAGTGGAAACCCATCAGCATTGTAGTAAGATTATATTTATATTATAAAATATTGATTACTCTCTTTAAATAGGATTTAGGGATGGGAGAAGGACTATAAAAATATTTATATTTTGTTATACATGCTTCCTAGAGAAAACATCATAGATTAAATAGTAAGAATAGAGCACAGAATATGAAAATTTAATGATTGCCCTGACCTGTGTGGCTCAGTTGGTTATATGTCATCCTGTGCACTGAAAAGTTGCCAGTTCTATTCCTGGTCAGGGCATATGCTTAGATTTGGGGCTCGATCCCCAGTCGGAGACGTGTAGGAGGCAGCTGATTGATGTTTCACTCTCACATCAATGTCTCTCTCTCTCCCTCTCTCTAAAAAAAAAAAATCAAAAATATATTTTAGAAAGAAAAGTTGAATGATCCAATGAGTACTGTAGAAACTTAAGGAAGGAAGAAAATTGACATAAACTAGTATAGCAAAAAATTTCTAGGGATTTATTACTTGCACTAATGGCCTGGTGCATGAAATTCATGCACATTAAGAGGAGATTAATTAGAGGAAATATTTTAATATTGCTATTTGCCCTTTCCCTGAAATAGAGGTATCAGAGATGAAAGAAAATTAGTAAACTGTATATAAAAATCTTTGTCCTGTCAGAGGCCCACCTGGGGCGCCTCAAAATCACATGAGACCCAGCCAGTCCTCCCCCTTGTCAAGCCCGGGGCCGCAGCCTCAGGTCCCCTGCCCCAGCCCAGCACCTCACAGCCTCAGCTCCCTGCTGATTGCTCCTTAAGGCTTGTTTCAGGAACTCGGCCTCCACTGTGGGTGCCACCAGCTCTGTGATGGCATGGCAGTCAATTTGCATATTCCCTCTTTATTATATAGTATTACCAAAGCTCTTGTGGTTGCTTTAGGCAGATTGCAGCCCCCCACAGTGCCATCTGAGTAGAAGCATTAAAATGGACTGATATCTATTGTTGCCTTGGAGATGCTGGGAAAGCATATCATAGACCTATTTGCTGATTTGGCTATTTGTGCAGATACTTGGAATTAAAATAATTGAACCTTAATGTTGGTGTAGAATGTACCATTTCTGCTACTTCTTTATCTCATGTGGGTCCCTGCTATAACATCCACATAACTGCTTATGACAGTTAATCTAGGATACTGGATTATATATATAGCATGCTTTTTTCCTGTATAGTATTGTCAAAGATTTCTCAAACCATTAATTTTTGTTACACTTTCATTAAATTCCAGCATTATCAATAATGTGTAAGTAATACAGGAGTGCTTATGACAGAATTGCACCTTAGAAAACATTTTGCATCTAGTATGCTGGATTATATAAATGGCATGCTTTTTTCCTGTATAGTATTGTTAAAGGTTTCTCAAACTAATTTTGTACACTTTCATTAATTTCCAGCATTATTAATATGTATAAGTGATACAAGATTGAGATGAAAATTATCACTAAAATGGTACATTACTTTATATAACTTAAAGGTTTAAATTTTTTAAAAAGATTTTTTGTCATTATAATAATCTCTTTAAGCTGGAAGCTCCTTGACATCCTTTGGAACAGAAACATCAAACAGCGGTACCCTGTCCCAAAGTAGTGCAGTTGGTTCTGCCTTTACACAGGATACAAGATCTGTGAAAACACAGTTATCTCAAGGTAAGCTGTTTTCCTTTCATATATTTTCATTCTAAACTTCTATACTGGTTTTATCTTTCTCTGAATGTAAGAACTTTTGCAATTTGTTTTTCTCCTAATTGCTGTTGCAATAAGTATATTTAGACTTTTTCCAGTCTTAGATCATAAAACTAAAGCAGTGACCTTTCTGTAAGTTTGACAGTTTTTGCAAAGCAAGTATAATATAAATTGTATGATTATACTTAAATATATCAAATTAATCCTAGAGTCACCACTGAAAGTGAACTCTCCTTGATTACTTTAAAATAACAACTGAAGAAAACAAACTATTTATTATGCTCTTGCATCTTTCTTAGCATCCTCACAGGATCTAGAGCAACGTTCAGTGGGTGTACTGCAAGAATTTCGAAATCATTATTTATTATTACCTGACTATTTTGTCAGGGGCACAGGCGTATTTTCCCTTAAATTGTCAAATGAAAAAAAAATGACAACAGCCAACACAACAATAACCATCTGGTATGAATGAATGAAAATTATACAGTACCTTGGGTGTTTTTTTTTTTGTGTTTTGTTTTTTTTCTCAGATCAGCAAAACATACATTTACTTTTGGTTTGCCATAGAATTTTGGTAATTTATGTGCACCTTGGAATGAAAACTGCTCATATAGAGCAATGGTTCTCAGTGTTAGGCCACCCACAACCAATGATCTTGAGTGCTTAAAAATGTAGATTCTGAGAACTACATCAGAATCCTTCTAGGGTCAGCATTTAATAAGCTTCTTAAACTATCCTGTTCTTTTTTTTTTTTTTTTTTTTTTAATTATATTTTTTCCTCACCCAGGCTTACAGCCTCCAGTGGTCCCAAGATATCTATTTTTACTTGTTGCCAAAGTGAATGTTACTGGCTCATTGCTTTATATAGATGTTTACTTTTAAATAATGTGAAGTCATTTCAGAAAGATGCCATAATCACAGGACAATATTTTAAAAATATATTGAGAATAAAATCAGGCTAATTATCTTTCTTACTGCAGATATTTTGAAATAGTTGTAGTTACTGTTACTCATATTGATTTAAAATACTTTTTAAACATTCTAAAGATTTGTTATAGATTAATTAGAAATATAGTAAGCATAAGGAAAAAATTTAAATACACACAATCTCTACCCAGAAATAACAAATATTTATGTTTTGTTGTACATGCTTCCAGACTTTTTTGTAGGCTAATTTAAGTGTGTATTTGTATGTATGTGTATTTGATATTTTAGTTATTAATCTTTCTTAAGCATTAGTTCCTTAAACTATAAAATGGTACTTTACTGGTAACTAACAGAATTATTATGGGGATTAAATTTTTTTTAATGTATACAGTGCCATCAGCATCATATATAGTACCTAAACTTCTGTACTGGTTTTATCTTTCTCTCAATGTAAGAACTTTTGCAATTTGCAATGACATGTATAATTTTTATTTGGTTCTTTGAAATTTTTTCTCCTAATTGCTGTTGCAATAAGTATATTGTTGAATGACTTCCACTATTTAGACTTTTTCCAGTCTTAGATCATAAAACTGAAGCAATGGCCTTTCTGTGGCAGCTCTTGATCAGACCTTGCCTCTCTTTCTCTCTGGGCCTAGCCAGCAGCTTCGGGGGATTCTGATCAGGCCCAGAGATAGGCCCGGAAACACTGACTGGCTGACCAATCAGAACCAAATCTGGTAGTCAGTATGCTCTGGGTGAACTGTGAGGAGCCGATGGCTCCCTAAGAGGCGGGCTTTTGGTGCTGACTGGCATCGAAACTGACCAATCAGAATGTAATCAGTAAATGTTAGCTATCTTAATGAATATCCAACATTAACCTTAATATGGAAACACCAGAAGAATTCTTATTAATCATAAATAAGGATGCCTGTCATCATTGCTATTCAGCATTGTTCTGGAATTTTTAGCTAAATCTGAAACACGTGAAAAAGAAATGAGGCATAGTTATTAAAATTAGCATTATTTGTCAGTGCTATGAATTACTACTCGGAATTAAGAATTCATTAAATAACCTAGAACTGATAAAAGACTTAAATTAGAAGGAAAATATAATGTATAAACATCAATCATTGTTCTAAAACTTAACACACTAATTATGTAGTGGGGATAAAAGATGATGTTCACAATAATGAGAAATTATGTAAAAAATACATAACAAAAAATAAGACCAATTTCTATGTTGAAAACAAAATATAACAGAGGGATCTAATAAGATAATGTAATTAAAGAATTATTTTATTCCTAGATACAGAGATAAAGTATTGGGAAGACTTTACTTGTCATATTAATTAAGTTTATTTAATTTCAATAAATCTAAGTGGAATGTTATGAGAACTTAATAAAACAGATACACATACTATCTTAAAAATAAACGTGGAAGTATAGTTAGACATATCTAAAAAAAACAAAACAGTGAAATAGGGCTTTTCTACTCAGTAATGTATTCATAAAATAAAACAGTGCAGGAATAAGTTAATAGATGAATGGAATAAAAATCGGGAACAAATCCAAGAATAACTAAGTTATCTATATATATAAAGAGCCAGGGTCCGTAACATCCAGAATGATCAAACGGACAACCAAACACCAGAAGTCAGTGCTGGGTTGTTGCAGCAACCCAGCACTAACTGCCGAGGGGGCTGCAGAACACGAGAGAGAGAAGCAGGGTCTGATCCACAGCCTCCATGGCAGCTGTGGATCAGCTCTTGCCTCTCTCTCTCTCTCTCCAAGCCTCGCCAGCAGCCTCGGAGGCTTCTGATCAGGCCTGGAGATAGACCTGGAAACGCTGACTAGCATAGAAACTGATCAGTCGGAACCAAATCTGAGTGAACTGCAAAGACAGAATCTAAGGTGGTGGCTAAGGAGGGGTTTTAAGGGCAACAGCTGTTTGGTGTAAGAAAGCAGTTCAATTTTTTTAATGACTGGTTTGGCTGTATAGTGTATATGGCTGGCTATCAGTCCAGATATAGGGATTATATATTTTTGTCGGCCAAGAGCTTCTCCTCCTGCTGAAAAAAACCTTTAACCCCATTTAAGCAATCCTATCCTATGTAATCTTGTCTATACTAATAAAAGGGTAATATGCTAATTAGACCAGGTCAACCAGCCATCTTCCGGTCATTTGACTTCCTTCCACACAAAGCAGTGGAGGGCAAGATCAGGCTGGCAGGGGAGGCAGTTAGGGGCCATCAGGCAGGTAGAGGCAGTTAGGGGTGATCAGGCCAGCAGGAGAGAGCAGTTAGGGGCAATCAGGCAGGCAGGCAAATTAGTGGTTGGGAACCAGCGGTCCCAGATTATAAGAGGGATGTCCCCCAAGAGGTCCCTGATTGGAGGGAGTGCAGGCTGGGCTGAGGCACCCCCCTCCCTTGCACAAATTTCATGCACTGGGCTACTAGTTAGTATATTATAGAGGTATTATTAAGCTAGAGAAAGGGCAGCTGTTCAATAAATGATATTGGGACAGAACTGCCTGATCATTTGGAGGAAATAACTAGATTTTTTCTCTTAGGATTAAATTAAATTCTAAATCTAAAATTTTTAAAGTACATATCTTTATATATAAAAGCCTAAGCAAACGAACAACTAGTCATCTGGTCATTATGACACGCACTGACCACCACGGGGCAGACACTCAATGTAGGAGGTTCCTCCTGGTGGTCAGTATGCTCCCACAGCGGGAGCACCACTCAGCTGACTGATGGGCGCCAGATGCTGGGCTCACAGCTGGCAAGCACAGCTGTGGCGGCACGAACCTTTCCTGCCTCCACAGCAAGCACTACCAAGCAGTGGCAGCAGGCACAGCAGGGCTGGGATGAGCAGGACCAGCGCAGCACCTGGTCTGGGCTTGGGCTCCTCCCCGGCCACCTGCTGCTTCACACACTGCTACATCCCCATGGGGATTGGGCCGAAACCAGTAGGCTGAGGGACCCCACCAGTGCACGAATCTGTGCACTGGTCCTCTAGTTTATTATAAGAAAGATGTATATTTATATAAAGAATGGCAGTCCTGGCTGCTGTGGCTCAGTTACAGGTTCAATTCCAAGGGCATATGCCTCCTGGTTATTGGCTTTACTCCCCATCTCCTGGTTAGGGTGAGTGCAGGAGGCAACCAGTCTCTCTTTCTTCCCCTATCTCCCTCCTTCCCTCTCTCTCTCTCTTTCTTTCTCTCTCTCTCTTTCTCTCTCTCTCGTTCCCTTCCACTCTCTCTGAAAAGCAATGGAAAAATATCCTCTAGTGAAGATTAACAAAACAATAATAAGGCTGATATGGCCTGGGAATCTACATTTTTTGCCAACTATAATTTCTAAATTTTATAAAATTAGAACATCTAGAATTTTAACTGTGATATCAGTATGTGAAGATAGCTCAAGGGGTGTGTTTTTATTAAGCTGAAATGGCTATTGTCTATATTCCTAATAATATGTCTAATATCACCTGTATTTCCCTATTTATAACAAAATTGCCATTGTGGCTAGTAGATTTTAATTATAAAGTATACAACAAATGAGATGTTGCTGTGATTGCCATATTACTTGTGTTTCTTTAATACTTGTCATAAGGTCTTTTCTCAAAGAAAAGTCTGATAAAGTAAATTTTATAAACTTAGAAGAATATAGTACTGTAACATTAACTAAGCAATAGGATTTTCAAAAAACTTAATACTTATTTTATAAATTAAATCCCTTTAGAATATCATAAGTGATTATGAAATGTCTTCTGATAGGCCAAAACTTTTATAAACCTCCATGATTTCCCAGTATATACAGTGTTTCCATTGATGGCAGAGTAAACTTTGGCATTAATGGCAGGAAATGCACATTTGCAATTGCATGCTTTAGATAACCATAGTCTTGGGGACTGTCCTATATAATAAAAGCCTAATGTGCAAATTGAATAGCAGAACAACCGGTGGAACAACCAGTTACTATGATGTGCACTGACCACCAGGGGGGCAGACGCTCAGCACAGGAGCTGCCCTTAGTCCCCAGGCCAGCCAAGGTAGGTGCCATCAGGACCCCACCCCCATCATCCCTCCAGTCACCCCACAGATCAACTCTGATTGCCGGTCAGGTCTAAGGATCCTACTCATGCTTGAATTTCATTAATTGGGCCTATGGTTACTAATAAATGATCCCTAGAGCATCCAAAAAACAACAGCCAATGCTTTGTTAGCACTCACTAGTTCACCAGTTGTTGACATTTGCAGCATATATAATTTTTTATTTTTATAAAATGAGCACAATTTTTTTTTTAAACAAAACATTTTGGTGCAGTATCATGAGATATGAGAGTACCTTGAACAGAGATTTATCACAAACAATAGGGACAAAAAATATGATGGGAGCACCTAATGTTGCATTATTCTGTTTATATTGTAACCATTCTATGAAGCTCTAACCTCTATTAAGTAAAAATTTGACAAGATGTTTTAAATGGAAAGGAATTATTATCACTATTACAGAATTACCTTAAGGGTTTATTTGTTGGTGGCCTTTTTGTTGTTGTTAATCCTTACCCGAGGATATTTTTCCATTGACCTTTTAGAGAGAGTTGGAAGAGAGAGGGAAAGACAGAGAAGCATTGATGTGAGAGAAATACATTGATTGGTTGCCTCCTGCATGTGCCCTGACCAGGTACGTGCAACCAAGGTACATGCCTTTGACCAGAATCAAACCCAGGACACATCGGTATGCAGGCTGATGCTCTATCTATCCATTAAGCCAAGGGCTGTTGCTTTCCTTTTAAATATTGATGTTTAATTTACTCAAGCCCCTAAGGTATTGAAGAACTTAACCCAACTTTCTAGTTCTTTATAATACTAATTTATTGGAGATAATATCTATAGATATAAAGGTATCACTTTACACATCTTCAGAAAATATTGAAAATATTAGAGCTTCTGGAAATAATGGCTTAAGTATCAATAGAATCTTGTGGTTATGGTTATTAGTTTAAACCTGCATCTGACCAACAGCATGATCTTTAATAACATTCTTGGGGAATTTTGTATCAGGCAGAAATTTTTGAAAAACTTATTTAAACCTTATTTTAGTAGGTAGAAATACAGATAAAATTTCAGAGTATGTTGTTGTTGTTGTTTTAACTAATCTAATGACCAGCCCACTAAAGATTATCTGGTCTAGTCAGTAGAAGAATTCAAGTTTGTGCTAAGGCTTTTAATTGGTAGAAATAAAAAGACATTTTTTTAGAGTCTAGGTTATTTTGAAATCCCCAAAGGATAGGGTAGTTTCTTATCTTTTGGTTACGTTTTAGGTCGTTCAAGCCCTCAGTTAGATCCTTTGAGAAAAAGCCCTACCATGGAACAAGCAGTACAGACCGCCTCGGCCCACTTACCTGCTCCGGCACCTGTTGGGAGAAGGAGCCCTGTATCAACCAGGCCTTTACCATCTACCAGCCAAAAAGCAATAGAGAATCAAGAGCACAGGCGAGGTAGAACTTTAGCTGTTTACTAATTCCTTAATTGACTCATCAACATTTTCCATTCACCTTATTTTCATTAAAAAGATAAACTTTATATGAATGATGGATCCTAGAAGGTTTAAACTGAACTTGGTAGAATGTTCATTCTTTCAATTTTAGCTCAAAATAGTGATGGGGGGGTATAGATTTGGAGGGTTTTTTTGTTTTGTTTTCCTCATTTCTAACATTAAATTTTGATTTTTGTGTCCTGAGTTAATTTGTTATTCTGTATGCCTTATAGCTGATATACACAAAATTTCAAGACCAGAAAATGAGCAACTCAGAAATGATAGCAAGAGACAAATGGGTAAGTAACTTGGATTTAAAAGTCATATTCTATGCTTCTCAATAGAGAGAATATTTGAAATGTGTGGTGAATAACTGCTATAAAAAAATAAAAAAAATAATTGTAGCCTCAGCTAGGTTGCTCAGTTGGTTGGACCATCATCCCTTGCACCAAAAAGGTTGCAGGTTTGATTTCCAGTTACGGCCCATACCTAGTTGTGGGTTTGATCCCCAGTAGGGTTGAGTACAGGACACAACTGATCATCATTTTCTCTCTCACTCACTCTCTCTCTCCTTCCCTCTCTCTCCAAAAATCAATAAAAATAAAAAAATATCCTTGGGTGAAGATAAAAAATTTAAAAAAAGAATGGCAAGGGTTGGTAGCTAGCTGTAGCATGGGAGTTTCATTGTGGTAGCAGGTTTTTTCTTTAAATATTTTTATTGATTTCAAAGAAGAAAGGAGAGGGAGATGAGAGAGAATCATTGATCAGCTGCCTTCCTGCACCCCACACTGGGGATTGAGCCCGCAACCCAGCTTTCAGCTGGTCAGCCAGTCCATTAGGCTTTTACAGAGAGGGAGAGAGGGAGATGGGGGGGGAGGGAAGGGGAGAGAGACAGACACCTGGTGCATGAAATTTGTGCACTGGAAGGTGTGCCTCCACCCTCTCACAATCTGAGACTCCTCATTCCTTATCACCTGCCTGCTTGCTACTCCTTACCATTTAGCTCTCTGCTCCTTAGCATTGCTGCGGAGGCAGGAGAGGTTCCTGCCACTGCTGCTGTGCTTCCCAGCCATGAGCCTGGCTTTTGTCTGAATGGCGCTTCCCCTGTGGGAGCGCACTGACCACAGGGGGGGGGGCAAGCTCCTGCATTGAGGATCTGGCCCCTGGTGGTCAGTGTGCGTCATAGCGACTGGTCATTCCACTCTAATGGTTGCTTAGGCTTTTATTATGTAGATATAAGTTTTTGTGTCAGTTTCATATAAGCATTATGAAAAAATATTTTGTTTTTAAGAATAGAATTATCTGTACCTTAAAAGTTTGACATTTTTACACTGGCTGGTTTGCTTAATGGTTAGAGTGTCGGGCCTAAAAGGGTCTCCGATTCAATTCCCAGTTAAGAGCTTATACCTTGGCCGAGACCGGTTTGGCTCAATGGATAGAGCGTCGGCTTGGGGACTGAGGGACCCGGGTTCGATTCCGGTCAAGGGCATGTACCTTGGCTGCGGGCATATCCCCAGTAGGGGGTGTGCAAGAGGCAGCTGATCGATGACTCTCTCTCATCGATGTTTCTAGCTCTCTATCTCTCTCCCTTCCTCTCTGTACAAAATCAATAAAATATATTTTATTAAAAAAAAAAAAAAAAGAGCTTATACCTTGGTCAAGGCATGTACCTCAGTTGCAGGTTCCCCAGTCCCAGGGACCTGTGCAGGAGGCAACCAATTGATGTGTCTCTCTTATCTCAAAGTGCCTCTCTCTCTCTCTCTCTCTCTCTCTCTCTCTCTCTCTCTCTCTCTCTCTTCTCCTCTCTTCTCTCTTCTCTCTTTTTCTCATCTCCCCCTCTCTCCTCTCCTCCTCCCTTCCTTCCTTCCTACCCCTATCCCCTCCTAATCTCCCATCCATTCTCTAGAAATCAGTGGGAAAAAATATCCTTGGGCGAAAATTAAAAATAAAATAAAAAGTTTGACATTTTCTCATTTAAATTATTTGTGCCCTGAACCTTTTTTTGAAGTAATTGTTCAAGAACTTTAACTTCTGCCTGGCCTATGTTATCAGTACTTAGTTGAACTTCGACCTGTGAATCAGGAAGTCACAGTTCCCAATCAGTGATTCTCTCTCATCATTGATGGTTCTATCTCTCTCCCTCTCCCTTCCTCACTGAAATCAATAAAAAATATATTTCTTTAAAAAAATAACTTTAACTTCCTTTCATAATTATTGATTTAATAAGATTGTATACTTTGTGTTTTATAATCTATATTATTAATCCCAAATTCACCCATTCTATTAGCAGAAAACAAATTATAATTTAAAAGTCTTCCAAATTAAAAAATTAAGGCAATGTGTAATTACCTTGCTCAGATAAGAATGGAAAGTGGTCTTTAACTTAGTTTCTAAAATCTAGATATATTTGAAATGTATAACCACCTCATTTGTCCTATACATTTTTATGTGTTTTTTTAATGTTCTACATGTCATAGTAACAAAGTTTCTGTTTTGATTTACTATATTACCTTTTTGTTTGTTTGTTTTATCCTCACCTAAGGATGGTTTTTTTTCTATTGCTTTTAAGAGAGAGGAAAGGGGAGAGGGTAGTGGGGAGGAGATATCAATGTGAGAGATACATCAACCCATTGCTTTCTGCATGCACCCTAATGGGTGGGGGGAGGCAGAGAGTGAACCCAAAATCCCAGGTATGTGCTCTTGACCGGAAATCATACCTCAGACCTTTTAGTGCACATGCTGTAACCACTGAGCTTGCTGGCCATGGCTATAATCCATTTTTTTAATTTGGAAAAAGACAGAACCCTTTCTCAAAATAATTGCTATACTGTATCACTTAAAAATTATATAAAATAATAAATATCTTTTTTTATTATTATTGATTTTTTACGGAGAAGAAGGGAGAGAGATACACAGTAGAGAGTTAGAAACATCGATGAGAGTCATCGATCAGCTGCCTCTTGGCACGCTCCCTACTGGGGATGTGCCCGCAACCAAGGTACATGCCCTTGACTGGAATCGAACCCGGGACCTTTCAGTCTGCAGGCCGATGCTCTATCCACTGAGCCAAACTGGTTTCAGCATAAATAAATATCTTTTTTTGTTTTTTGTTTTTCTAATCTTTATTGTTCAAATTATTACAGTTGTTCCTCTTTTTTCCATAGCTTCCCTCCACCAGGTTCCCACCCCCTCCATGCCCTTACTCACCCCCTCAACTGTCCTCATCCATAGATGTATGATTTTTTATCCAGTCTCTTCTCGTACCCCCAACACCCCTTTCCCCCCCCGAGGATTGTAAGTCCACTCCCTTTCTATGTCCCTGACTCTATTATATTCACCAGATTATTTCGTTCATCAGATTTTTAATTCACTTCATTTTTAGATTCACTGTTGATAGATATGTATTTGTTGTTAATAATTTTTATCTTTACCTTTTTCTTCTCCCTTTTCTTAAAGAATACCTTTCAGCATGTCATATAATACTGGTTTGGTGGTGATGAACTCCTTTAGCTTTTTCTTGTCTGTGAAGCTCTTTATCTGACCTTCAATTCTAAATGATAGCTTTGCTGGGTAGAGTAATCTTGGTTGTAGGTTCTTGCTATACATCACTTTGAATATTTCTTGCCACTCCCATCTGTCCTGTATAGTTTCTGTTGAAAAATCAGCTGATAATCGTATAGGTGCTCCCTTGTAGGTAATTAACTGTTTTTCTCTTGCTGCTTTTAATATTCTCTTTGTCTTTTGTCCTTGGCATTTTAATTATGATGTGTCTTGGTGTGGTCCTCTTTGGATTCCTTTTGTTTGAGGTTCTCTTGGCTTCCTGGACTTGTAAGTCTATTTCTTTCACCGGGTGGGGAGAGTTTTCACTCATTATTTCTTCAAATAGGTTTTCAGTATCTTGCTTTCTCTCTCCTTCTATCACCCCCTTAATTCGGATGTTGATAAGCTTGAAGTTGTCCCAGAGGCTCCTTACATTATCTTCATATTTTTGGATTCCCTTTTCTTTTTGCTTTTCTGATAGAGTGTTTTTTGCTTCTTTGTATTTCAAATCTTTGACTTGATTCTTGCAATCCTCTAGTCTGCTGTTGGATCTCTGTATATTATTTTTTATTTCAGTCAGTGTATGCTTAATTTCTAGTTGGTCCTTTTTCATATCCTCAAGGGTCTCGTTAAATTTATTGTTTTTCTAGGAAATTCTTGAAAAACCTTATAACCATGGTTTTGAACTCTATATCCAGTCGTTTGCTTCCTCCATTTCTTTCATTTGTGACCTGTTTTTTCTCTCCACATTTTAGCTGCTTACCTGAGTTGGTAGAGTAGCTTTTTGTGCTATGTGTCCTATAGGGTCCAGTGGCTCAGCCTCCCCAGTTACCTGAGGTAGACACTCTTGGTGCACCCCTTTGTGGGCTGTGTATACAATCTTGTTATAGTTAAGCCTTGATTGTTGTTGGGATCACTGGGAGGGATTGACCTCCAGGCCATTTGGCTGTGAGGGTCAGCTGTGTCTATGCTCGAAGAACTTCTGTATTGGAGACACCCTTATGGGCAAGACTTGCTTCAGTGAGGCTTTGGTGCTCACTGAGTCTGCCCCCTGAGTGTGTTCCTTATGGATCTGAGGAGTTGTAATGTGGATGGTCCCACTCTGATTTCTGGATACACTGGCTCTTGGATCTCCAAGGAGGTGCTAGTTTAGCCTCTGCCTGAGGCTACCTAGTAGGAGCTTTGGAGAGATCTGCAGATTCCTCTTCTTTGTTTGGGTTTTGGAGGTACCCAGATTAGGGCCAGCTATGAAGCAATGCAAGCTGCTGTAGGGCCTTGGACTTTCATTTGGATGTTCTGGGTATCTCTGACTCAGCTGCAGTTTATTAAGTTTAGATTTCCAAGGACCAGGCCATTCATATGCAAAAGCCTCTGTGCACAGCTTGGATGGGGTGGAGTCTCAGTGCAGAGAAAACAGCAATGGCTTCCTGTTGAGGCCCCTTGGTCTCAGTGTCCCTTGGTAATCCTTTCAAGAACCTCTGAGAGAAAGCTGCCCTCAAATTCCACCCACTGCCAGACAGTCCAGTTTTTCCCCATATGAGTCTGGGTCCCCAGAGTCTTGTCTAGAACTGGAGTTCAGAGCAGTCGGGAGCTTGTGTCTTTCTCTTGATTGAAAAAGACAGCCATGTACTCAGTTGTTAGCCCTCTCCGCGCACCCTTCTCTGTACCTTTGCACTTTACTTCCACAGCTCCTTCGAGTCTCAATGTGCTTTTCTCTTTCCTTCAACCCTGTTTCCCCAAAAATAAGACAGTGTCTTATATTAATTTTTTCTCCCAAGGTTGCACTAGGTCTTGTTTTCGGGGAAACACTGTAGTTGTAGAATTTCTACTCAGCCAGTCTTCCTGTGGTTCTGAATGATGTCTGTTTTGTCTTTTTGTTGTAGTTTTGAAGTGGTTGTGTGAGGCAGAAAGTTCAGGTGTTTACCTATGCCACCATCTTGGTTTTAAAAACAGTATCTTTCACTCTAACTGGTTTGGCTGAGTGGATAGACCGTTGGCCTGTGGACTGAAGGGTTCCAGCTTTGATTCTGGTCAGGGGCATGTACCTTGGTTGCAGGCACATCCCCAGTAAGGGGCATGTAAGAGGCAGCTGATTGATGTTTCTCTCTCATTGGTATTCTGGCTCTCTGTCCCTCTCTCTTACCCTCTGTAAAAAAAAGATACTTTTTAAAAATATATATATATTTTTAAAAAAGTATCTTTCATTTTTCAAAATTCGTCACCTGAGACTCATTAACAGAGCAGTGGATATTCTTTAGATCTTTTTCTTTAAATTTTATACTTTATAACCCAGGGTTATTTTTATTGATTTGAGAGTCAGATATCATTGTGAGAGAGAAACATCAATCTGCTGCCTCCCTTACATGCCCAACCTGGGGTCAAACTCACAACTTTTTGGTGCAGGGGACAACATTCCACCAGTTGAGGCACCCAGCCAGGCCCAGTGCACAAATTCATGCACCAGTGGGGTCCCTCAGCCTTACCTGTGGGATTGTATCAAAACGGGCTTTCCAACATTCCCTAAGGGGTCCCAGACTGCAAGAGGGCACAAACCAGGCCAAGGGACCCCACCATTACATGATTAGTGCTGGAGAGGGACCCTGGGAGGGCTCTAGGGTGCATCTGGCCCATTTCACTCAGTCCTGATTGGCCAGGCCCCAGCAGCAAGCTAATCTACTATATGGAGCGTCTGGCTCCTGATGGTCAGTGCATGTTATAGCGAGCAGTTGAGTGTCCTTAGCATATCATTAGCATATTACGCTTTGATTGGTTGAACAGCTAACCACACACTTAGCATATTAGAATTTTATTATATAGGATAAATCCTGTTATAAAGACTAAGTATAGGAAGACTTGAATAATATGGAGTCACTTATAGCATAAACAATAAAGATGGAATAGAAATTGTTTGGAATGGTTGATACCTAGTGCTTCTTATCTTTTGTGTTATCTATAATGTGACGATGACACCTCCACCTTGCAGTTTGTTCTGATCCATGTTCATTTCTTTTTCTTACTCTAAATCTTGGTCCCTCTGATCCTTTCCATAAAAGGCTTCCTAAATTTTGGGACCCCACAGTGTATTTGATACTATGTAGGTATTCTATATAATAAAAGCCTAATATGCTAAGTGTCTTGGTCATCCAGTCATTTGTTCAACCAATCAAAGTATAATATGCTAATGATATGCTAAGGCTACTCAGCTGCTTGCTGTGACCTGCACTAACCATGTGGGGGGGCGGGCAGATATTGGAACTGAGCAAGATGGGCCAGACACACCCTGGAGCCCTCCTGTGGTCCCTCTCCAGGCTGGCCAACTTCCCACATCCCTCCCTGGCCCCAATCGTGCATTGGTGGGTCCCTCAGCCTGATGTCAGAGCAACCAGTTGCTATGATGCACACTGACCACCAGGGAGCAGATGCTCAACGCAGGAGCTTCCCTCTGGGAAAGCATGAAGCACTGGTGAGCGCGGCAGCAGTGACGCGAGCCTCTCCCACTTCCGTGGCAATGCTAAGGATGTCAACTGATGGCTTAGGTCATCAGTTGGACATCCCCCAAGGGCTCCCAGAATGCGAGAGGACGCAGGCCAGGTTGAGGGACGGACCCTTCACCCCCATACACACACACACCAAGTGCATGAATTTTGTGCACCGGGCCTCTAGTAAGGAATATAAGTAAGCAAAACACAGACCTTGCCCTCAGAGAGTTACAGTAATTTAGTACCAATATCTCCCAAATTATTTGGTTGTGCATTCTCTCAGCTATATATATTAGTGTGGACCTCATAAATATAAATTCATGTGTGCTGTTTGTATATATTAAATGTTAGTGGCACTTCATTTTTTATATAAAAATATAAATATAATGTATAGAGACTTGTAAGCATTTCTGTTGTTTTGTTGTTTTATATTTTTTTTTTATTTTATTAATTTTTACAGAGAGGAATAGAGATTTAGAAACATCAGTGAGAGAGAAACATCGAACAGCTGCCTCCTGCACACTCCCCACTGGGGATGTGCCCGCAACAAAGGTACATGGTTGACCAGAATTGAACCTGAGACCTTTCAGTCCCCAGGCCAATGCTCTATCCACTGAGCCAAACTGGTTAGGGCAGCATTTCCGTTGTTGACCATTCAATATAAAAACCATAAAAACCAGCTTACTTCTTTCCTTATTTCTATAGTTCCAGGTGCTCCTTCAGCTCCAAGGAGAGGGCGTGGGTGTCATCGAGGTGGCAGGGGAAGATTTGGTATTCGGCGAGATGGTCCTATGAAATTTGAGAAAGACTTTGACTTTGAAAGTGCAAATGCCCAATTTAACAAGGAGGAAATTGACAGAGAGTTTCACAATAAACTTAAATTGAAAGGTGAATTTTTATTTTTCTACTCAGAAAATACTCTTATTTGACCTGTAAATCATTGATGTTTAGTACACAAGTCTTGACTTTTATGGTATGTGCTTGTTTTTCAGTGGAAGATAAACTTGAGAAACAGGAGAAGCCTGTAAATGGTGAAGATAAAGGAGACTCAGGAGTTGATACTCAAAACAGTGAAGGAAATGCAGATGAAGAAGATCCACTTGGACCTAATTGCTATTATGACAAAACTAAATCCTTCTTTGATAATATTTCTTGTGATGATAATAGGTACTGTCTTTTAAGCTGTTCTTAAGCTTTTAGGAGGTTGGTGTGTGAAATGATTTCTATGTACATATACCATTGCCCCCCATTTCACAAAGTTTATTAGTAATGAGTACTTAAAAAATATCTGCCCTGGCTGGTGAGTTCCATAGCTAGAGCATTGGCCCACACACAGAAGGGTCGAGGGTTAGATTCCCTGTCAAGATCAAGGGCTCCTACCTGGGTTGAGGTTTGTTGTGTAGGAGGCAGCCAGTTTGTTGTGTAGGAGGCAGCCAGTAAATGTGTGTGTGTGTGTGTGTGTGTGTGTGTGTGTGTGTGTGTGTGTCCCTCTCTTCTCCTTTCCTCCCTCCCCCTCTCCTTTCTATTCTCTCTGAAAAGCTATGGGGGAAAAATATATTCAAGTGAGGAGTATAAAAAATAAAACAAAAATATCTAATGACAGCAATTTTTTGATGTTTTATTTTGCTAAAAGAAAATAATTGAACAAAAATTAAAATTAGTAAACAGAAGCTTCCGTATAAGTTAAGACCTTTTACAGTACTTTACCCTTTAGTGTAGTTCAAATAAACCAGGACCAAAAGTACTAATGTTACTTTGTGATTTGCTGATATAGTAAAACTCTGCAACATTTAAGTAAATGGAGATCCAGAAATTTGTCAGGTTAATTGTCAGGACCTAACACAAACTAAGAGTTCCAGGAATTCTGCTGATCAATCCAAATTGTCCCCCACGCTGTGTTTTAGTGCCACCTGGTGGTCATTGTTTAAACATGAATGGGGATGATTGGGGGGGGGGGGGCTCTAGAATAGAACCCGAAACAGCAGCAATTCATACACTTGCCTCAGGCATCCAGGGATTGGGCCAGGATCTTACTGGGAACTCTGGGACCTACCCTCCTGCTCCCAACTTCCTAGACAATGTTTTCTTTTCTGGCTTTACTTTCTCTTCCGCCGGCTGAGCAGAGGGTGGAGTTAATTGCCAATCACATTATATCTAAATTCCCATTATATTGGTGCTGTTATCTTGTTTATTTTTATTGACTGTATTTGCAAGAATCTAATACCAATTATATTTTTACATGAAATTTAACAGAATATTAAAGGAATATGAACAGTTTGAGATGGCTTAGATAAGATGCTTTTTTAAAAATATATATTTTATTGATTTTTTAAGAGAGGGAGAAGGAGAGAGTTAGAAACATGGATGAGAGAAAAACATCAATTAGCTGCCTCCTGCACACCCCCTACTGGGAATGTGCCCTCAACCAAAATATATGCCCTTGACCAGAATTGAACCTGGGACTCTTTAGTCTGAGGGCCAATGCTCTATCCACTGAGCCAAAACAGTTCGGGCGATGCTTATTTTTACTTGATCTTTAGGAATTGCTTCACCTTAATTTGGGAATTAGTGTTACATAGTTTTGCTTGAAAAATGTTCTTTAAAACCTGATATACAGTAAAAATTATTTGTGCTTAAAATAGAGAACGGAGACCAACCTGGGCTGAAGAAAGAAGATTAAATGCTGAAACATTTGGAATCCCACTTCGTCCAAACCGTGGCCGTGGCGGGTACAGAGGCAGAGGAGGTCTTGGTTTCCGTGGTGGCCGAGGACGTGGTGGTGGTAGAGGTGGCACCTTCACCACTCCTCGAGGATTTCGTGGGGGATTCAGAGGAGGTCGTGGGGGCAGGGAATTTGCAGATTTTGAATATAGGGTAAGTATTATATGTTTTTCATAAAACTACATGCCAAACAACATGCATTTTAATGAAACTCAGAATTTTTTTCTTTTATCTATTTTGGATAAATATTTTTAGGGCATTGGTATAACTTTCATTTTTACCTGATTAGGATATTTATATGATTTTAAGGAGTAGTAACTTAGCTAATAAGTCTTTTTAGTCTTTTTATTATAGAACTATGGTTTTAGACTTTGCAGACTGGTAAAATTTCCCAAAAAAAACTATTAGAGCCAGGACAGGTTTGGCTCAATGGATAGAGAGTCGGCTTGGGACTGAAGGGTTCCGGGTTCGATTTCAGTCAAGGGCATGTACCTTGGTTGCGGGCATATCCCCAGTAGGGGGTGTGCAAGAGGCAGCTGATCGATGACTCTCTCTCATCCATGTTTCTAACTCTTATCTCTCTTCCTTCCTCTCTGTATAAAATCAATAAAAAATATATTAAAAAATAAATAAATAAAAATTAAAAATAAATAAAAAATAAAAAAACTATTAGAGACTGACTTAGCATTGTTTCTTTTTCTTTTTCTTTTTTTTTAAATATATTTTTATTGATTTTTTACAGAGATGAAGAGAGAGAGGGATAGAAAGCTAGCAACATCGATGAGAGAGAAACATCGATCAGCTGCCTCTTGCACACCTACTGGGGATATGCCTGCAACCAAAGTACATGCCCTTGACCGGAATCGAACCTGAGATCCCTCAGTCCGCAGGCTGACGCTCTACCACTGAGCCAAACCGGTTACGGCCTGTTTCTTTTTTTATTTCTTCTTTTAAGATTATATTTTGTTGGATCACTTAAGGCATTAGCCACAAAAGTATTATTGCATACCATCTTATTTTTTTTTTAAATATATTTTATTGATTTTTTACAGAGAGGAAGGGAGAGAGATAAAGAGTTAGAAACGTCAATGAATCGACCAGCTGCCTCTTGCACACTCCCACAACCAATGTACATGCCCTTTACCGGAATCGAACCTGGGACCTTTCAGTTCGCAGACCGACGCTCTACCACTGAACCAAACCGGTTTCGGCCTTTTTTTTTTTTTTTAATAACAAGGTATGCTTTAACACTAAAAGAGTTTAGGAAGGACATACTTTACAATGGAAGACAAACCTATATGTTTAATAGCAGCTAATATTTATATAGTATTTTGCATATATATATCAACTCACTTAAACCTCCCCGCAACTCTGGTGTAGGTTCTCTTTTTAATCCCCATTTTACACATGAGGAAATAGGGATAAAGATATTAAATAGTTTATGCGAAGTCAGCTAGTAAGTGATGATGCTGGGTCTTGAACCTAGTAAATTTTTCCTGAGTCAGAGCTCTTAATTTAATTTTGTGAAAAACGCAACCACATTTTCCTTGGTTTTCTTATTTTGCCATGGTCTTGAAAATCTCATGATGTTGACATTTGGGAACTGCTGCTAGAAAATTGTATAGTTCTTATAGTATGTTTATATGTATTATTTACCTAAAGGAGTCTGTCACTATCCTAGTTTATTGATTTTTAGGCATAGTGGAGAGGAAGTATATAAACAGAAAGGTGTCTATTCAGCCATGGTGGCCTAATGGAGCTGCAGCACTTCTGACACAAAATTGCCATTCCAGCTAAAAAACTATATCTTAGGAACCTACTGCTCTTGCCTGTGACGTTTTGCTTACATAATTCAGTAGCCTTTTCACAAATATTTGCTCTTATTCCTCTGCAATATTTGACACCCAAGTGTTTTTTTCTTTTTTTAAAACATTTTTATTGATTTCAGAGAGGAAAGGAGAAGGAGAGAGAGATAGAAACATCAGTGATGAGGGAGAATCATTCAGCAGCTGCCTCCTGCACATCCCCCTCGGAGGGATCAAGCCTGAAACCTAGGCTTGTGCAATGACAGCTCATCAAACTGACCTCGTGATTCATAGGCTGATTATCACCCTCTGAGCCACATTGGCTGGGCAGTGTCTTTTTTTCTTGTTTGTTTGTTTTTTATACACAGGTGTTTTTTTTAATAAAACAACACATGCTTCTCAACACAGCCTATAAGATGCTTCAGGATCTTCTCCAGGTTAGAAGTCTAGAAATATCTCTAGTTCTTTTTACCAGTGGGACTTCCTTTCTCTTCATTCACCCTGCCACAGATACATGGGCCTTCTTAATCTTGTTTAGGGACAAGCTTAATCCTATCTCAGGACCTTTTTATCCATTCCTTCTGCCTGGAACATTCAGTTTGCTGCTTGAAAGCATTCATGCTCCCGTTTGCATCTTGCATATGCTAAAGCATGCCCCAAGTGCGTACTTTCTCTCTTTCTTCCACTCTACCCCCCTTTCCTCTTCCTTCTCCGACTTTCCCTTTCCCCCTTTTCTTTTCCAGCTTGTCGGTGCAAAACTTCTAATCAGTTTTTCAGTTTGGACCTCAATGCTTCCATCTGCATTGCTCTATCTTCACCTGCTTTGTGCCTGTGATCAACTTAAACTTAACCTTCCTCAGAATGACCTCATCATCTTCTTGCCTTCCCATTATTATCAGCTTTGCCTCTTCCTAGTGTTTGATTGGCTAATAATATACCATTCTTTTTCTTCCTTTTTTTCTTTTTCATTAATCCTCACCTGAGGATTTTTTTTTTTTTTCATTGATCTTTAGAGAGAGTGGATGGGATAGGGAGAGACAGAGAGAAACATCGATGTGCGAGAGACACCACATTGGTCTCTCACATGGTGCCAGGGTCGTGGTTCCCATACATCTAATTATTTGAATTTCACAGATATACATTGGCCTCCCACAGGTGCTGGGGTCGTGGTTCAAGCCTGCAACCAAGGTGTGTGCCCTTGACCAGAATCGAACCCGTGACCCTTCATTCCTTAAGCCAGTGTTTCCCAAAGTGTGGTGCGCGTACCCCCAGGGGTACGGGAAGAGTTTGGTGGGGATATGCACTGCACCGTGCTTAGCTGCGCCTAATTCTACGTTCTCATGAGTACGAGGGATACTCAGCATTACAAAAATTATAGAAGGGGTACACATATGTCAAAAATTTGGGAAACACTACCTTAAGCCAATGCTCTAACCACTGAGCATTAACTGGCCAAGGCTGACATTCTTCTGTCCCCAGGAGTGTGGAGGTATTCATGGTCATGGCCCATTTTCACATCACCACATTCATTCCTTTGACGTGTCCCGGCCAACTAACACAATAACCTACTGATTGGTCTTCAGACCTTCAGTCTTTCTTTACCTTACTTTAAGCATATTAGCTACCTGTTGGAAAAACTTAGGACAATTCCTTGCTGAAGACTATATTGAGTCAGCTTGGTTTGAGGAAAGGTGCATTTAAATTAGAATGTGGTCCCAGTGAGGATTTTATTGCTAGTATGATCTCAAGTCGTTAAACCTTTCAGTCACTCAATTTTGACATTTGTGAAAAGAGAGTTGCACAGTCTTATCTCAGATACACCTTTTACAGATCATTAAAGTCTCAGTTGGAAAGCGTCTGAGAGGTCGGACCTAGCCAAACCTCATCTGTAGCTGGGCCCTTACTTTTCCTGAGACCATTATCCCACTCTAGGGATATCTAATTACTGGATTTCACAGATATACATATAATTTGAGTGAAAATCTTTTTCCTATATCTTTGAACAATTAGTTTAACTCTGTCCTTTGTAAATACACAGAATATATATACTCTACATAATTATTTAGATATTTGAAAAAAATATCTGTCATGTTGTCTGTGTAAGACTGGACTGTTATTTCACTTTATCTAAACTGAATAATCACTGTATGCATGATACATGCACTTACTAATGCAAATATTTTCTTGAAACTGTCTCACTATTCAGTCATTTTGATCCTTTGGTTAAAACCATTTCACAGACAGAGTGGAGCAGAAGTAGGTTTACAGTTGTAAGTACGTATGCAAAACAAGGGCTTTGTTCTTTATTATTATTAATTGTATTATTTTTCATATGAACAACTGTAAACCTGCTTTTGCCCCACCCTGTATATTGCAGTATTAGAATACATTGTAGATGTTGTCTACATGAATCTTTGTCTGCACTAGTGTATTTCTGACACAATCTGCTTGAGTGTTTCAAGAAGTGACAGATTCATTGGACCCTGAGGCATTGGTGGTTAAAAAGTTCTAATGTGACATCGCACTGCCTCCTCTTTTTTCTTTTTCTTTTCTTTTTTTTTTTTTTTTTCCCAATAAATTTTATTGATTTTTCACAGAGAGCAAGAGGGAGGGATAGAGAGTTAGAAACATCAATGAGAGAGAACCATTGATCAGCTGCCTCTTGCACACTCCCCACTGGGGATGTGCCCGCAACCAAGGCACATGCCCCTGACCGGAATCGAACCTGGGACCTTCAAGTCCGCAGGCCAACGCTCTATCTACTGAGCCAAACCGGTTTCGGCTGCCTCTTCTTATTGTGAGGGTCCCACTTGACATGCCCAGCCCCATTTTTTATTACCCTTTAACTTATCTGATTTAAGCAAGTTGACTCATAGTCACATTGTTTTTTTATTCAGACTCTGGCCTCATTCATTCATTGACCAAATGAATATATTGAATTATTTTATATGCCAAGCACTGTGCTGGACATTGGTGGTAAACAAAATAGACTCAGTCCTGCCTCCTTGGTGTTTATAGTCCAGAGGGAAATCAGGCACAGCTAAAAGTCAAGGCCTCCCTTTTACTTACACTTCACAGTCTTACCCAAGGTTTCCTCTATCCTTATAACATATCTTCCTTCCTCCACTGATTTCTTCCTTTTCTCACCTCCATAGTATCTGCTTTTACCTATGTACATGTTAAATACATTCATGTTCCCTATTTCACGCATTTTGTTTTGTATCACCAGCTATGTGGAAGCCTCTTGACATTAGTGAATATGTATTCCACAAAAATACTTGCTCACCATGGAGCCATAATGGGCTTGAAGTAAGTGCTTAGCATATGTTCATTAGAAGTACTTACTTTAGCCTTCAGTGGCAACAAAGGCCCATCAGTGTGGCTAGCCCTTGATTGTTCATTACAAGTTGAATGACCCTTCTGCCTGCCATCAGAGGTCTTCTCAGCAGCCTATGCCTTCTAGATTATATCATTTGGCTCCTTTAAAGGTAGAAATAGTGAGTGATCACCATTACATATAAGAGATTTACCTGCAGGAATTAAACTCATTTTTCAAAGTGGATGTCAATAATATTTATAGTAGCTTTCATGTAATGGTTGGTTTTGGTCATTGTGCTCTGTTGGCATGAATCATTACATTTTTAGGTTGAGCATAAACAAATCTGATTGCCTAATGAAAATGTGTTTGAGGGGATTATCAATTTTTAGGACTCTTTAAAAATAGCCATATACTGCTCTGGCCAGTGGGGTTCAGTGGTTACTGGGGGAGTCACAGGTTCAAATTTCAGTCAAGAGCACATACCTGGATTGCAGGCTCGATCCCCAGCCTTGGTCATGGTGTATGTGGGAGGCAACCAATCGATGTATGTCTCTTTCTCTCCCCCCCCCCCCCCCCCCGCAATTCTCCTTTTCTCCCTTACTTTTCTCTCCCTCCCTCCCTCCATTCTCTGAAAAATCAATGAAAAAATACCCTCATGTGAGAGACTAGAACCTTTCTCCAAACCCATCCCAATCATAGGGTTAGGAAACCAAGGACCCAGAGAGATTAACTCTTAGGTACAAACTACTGTATAAAGCCAAAACTCCCTCTCTTTGACATCTAGCCCAATTTTCCTTAAGGATAATGTTAGAAGCATAAACTTGTGTTGCGTTTGGTCCTATGGCACTTTCTTTTCTTCTTTTTTCTTTTTTTTTAGTTGCGGGGTAGGGAAGTCAGGCCAGGGATAATAAGAGGACAGCCAGCTCCTGGTTTAAATGCTGCTGTTAGCCAAAACCGGTTTGGCTCAATGGATAGAGCGTCGGCTTGGGGACTGAAGGGTCCAGGGTTTGATTCCGGTCAAGGGCATGTACCTTGGTTGCAGGCATATCCCCAGTAGGGGGTGTGCAAGAGGCAGCTGATCGATGACTCTCTCTCATTGATGTTTCTAACTCTCTCTCTCCCTTCCTCTCTAAAAAATCAATAAAATATATTTTTTTTAAAAAAAGCTCCTGCCGAAGCCGGTTTGGCTCAGCGGTAGAGCATCGGTTTGCGGACTGAAAGGTCCCAGGTTCGATTCCGGTCAGGGGCATGTACATTGGTTGCGGGCACATCCTCAGCTGGGGGTGTGCAGGAGGCGGCTGGTTGATGTTTCTCTCTCATTGACGTTTCTAGCTCTCTATCTCTCTCACCTCCTCTCTGTAAAAAATCAATAAAATATATATATTTTTTTTTAAAAAGAGCTCCTGCTGGGTATTGAAGTAAAAAGTATTTTCTGAAAATCAGTAGTACAGATTTATATGTGAGAGTAAAAGGAGAATATATTTAAAGATAATGGAAAGTATATTTAAGCATATTAGAAAGAAATGATTATTAACCAAAAATTTGAAACATGAGCTAATTTTTTTTTTCCTTTTTTAGAAAGACAACAAAGTTGCTGCATAGTCTACAAACAAGTCTTTGGAAATAGGTGAACTTCTAGCTCTTCATGGTCCTGAGAATTGGTTTCAGTCTTTACCAAGAATGAAGAAGTGAATTTGCTGTATATTTGTCACCAGCACTGGGTTTTTGTTGTTGTTGTTGTTGTTGTTCTTGTTGGTTTGTTTGTTTTTCTGCTTAATTTCAAAGATATGATGTAGTTAATATTGGGGGGGTAAGGGGCAGCTCATCTTTAAAAATGAGCATTAAATATATTTGAAATAGCAGAAGGTTAAGTAATTTCTTATGTGTAAACTAAAGCAGTACTTCAATGGGACTTACAAGTATTTTTTCATCACTGAAAGGATTTTTTTTATCACTAAATTGTATTTGGCAATTATTGTAAGTTACCTGCAGATAGGGCCGTGATACTGTTTCAAGCCACAGAAGGGTGTGTGTGTGTGTGTGTGTGTGTGTGTGTGTGTGTGTCTGTGTCTGTGTCTGTATCTTTTTCCCTTTCTTTTTGGCAATCCTGTAATATCCCTTTTGAGGTAGTTTATTTCATCAGTTAATTGGGATGCTGGATGGTAGAGAATTTTGTCAGTCAACTATGTACACACAGTAAATACTGTTTCTTAGGCAAAGAAAACTTTTTTATATAGTTATAAAATTCCATTATATAGCATTGCCAAAGAAACATTAAGAACTTTGTATAGCTGTATAAAAAGCAACTAATTTTTTAAAGAATAAACATTTTAAAGTCAGCAAACATACTGTGTCCTTGCAGAAGTTGTGCTGAAGATCAGAGCTATGGGTGGGTCTTTTTTTTCTTCTTCTTTTTTTTTTTTTTTTTTTTTTTTTTCCATAGCTTTCCAGGCTTAAGATTTTTTATTTTGATTTTTTTTTTTTAATGTTTAGAACACAAATGAAGATTTGATACATTCTTTTGTTAAATTATGCTCATTGTAAGAATTTCATTTTATAGTAAATGGCATATCACAGGATTTGTCCAAATAATAAATATTTTCAGTATATGAATGTAAATAATCATAGATAATAATGTACTTAGCTGTATTTTCAAATAAGTAAGTCCTCCCCTTTTTTTAAGACAGTAAAACTAGGCATCAATTAACCTGTTCTTCCTGATGATGCCTGGAATTTTGTCGTGATAAGTTGACTCATTCCATTATATTTCAAGAGGATTCAGAGTGTTAGAAATTTTGACAACTTATCAGATATCATAACACTGGTCCTTTGGCCTGTGATTCACAAATGACTCAATATAGAGTTCATTGCTAACTATAAGTTACTAGTAAATCTTTTTGATACTTTAAGCTATACTGGGGGGGAAATCTGGCCACCTTTGTGTTTTTATGAAGGCCATGGAATAAAGGGATCCAAAGATTTAAATATTCTTATCTCTCTTGATTTTGTTAACTTTCTCCTTAACTACTCAGTAGTAATAAAGATGTGGAAAACTGCACAGTAGAATTAGAATATTTAAAGATGGTTGATATTTTTAATTTTATATCTTTTGTATAGCTCTACAAGATGTTTTGTAATTTGGTTTCATTATTAAGTTTCAGTACTTGACAGTCATAATTTAGATAATATTGTTTAATACTGTTTGCATGTTAACAACAAAATATTTTGGAGGACCCATAAATCATGATATTGAACACATTTCTGAGGCATTCTGAACATTAAAGCAAGTGCTATGGCAATACTTATAGACTGTTTAAGATGTCCTGGGCCTATTTCAAGAAGAAAAACTGTAAATACCAGTTTTACATGCTCTAAAAATATGAATTCATGCAATTTCCAAGCCCTCTGGGTCACTGACTAGGGCCTTTGGTGCCCTAGTAACTGGCAGCATGGCATACCTGCAGTGCACCTTACAATATTAAAGCAAGGTTTTTATTCTAAGACAGAATAAAACTCTTCAATTAAAAATGTTCGTCAAAGTTTTTTCTCTTTAAACAGGAATGTTTTCTTACAATAGAAAGATAAAGGCATCTTTAAAATATCAGAATGGAATTATGGTCATGTTTATATTCCCTAAAAAAACTAAATTATTTTCTCTCTAAGACTTACTTATTGTCGTAGATGTTTAGGTAAAGGAACAAGCCCCTTTCTCTCTCTGTATAGTGGAGACCACAACGTAAGTTCAAATCTATGACATGAGGGGACAGCCAAGTGGAAAACCTCAGGCTAGAATGTGACCTCTGGCCAGGCAGGTGCAAATGAGGAGAGAGGGAAAGGCTGGCTCCTTCTAAATTCACTTATTGGATAGACCATTTTTCCCTCCAAAATCAGAACTTAATGTAAGTGGTAGAAAGATAGGTTTAGGAATGTTAATCCAGCTCAATGCCTCTTAATCAGAGTCTGAATTGACATCCTAGGAGCAATTAGAAAAGTGAAGAAATGTGTTTTGGGCTGTCCCTGTAACTAGGAACAATTGGCATTTAAGTGTAAGGGTCAGGGATGGTAAATGTCCTACGCTATGCTGGACAGTGCCACATAATCAGTTATCTAGCCCAAAATATAGCAGTGGCCCTTCCACTTTGAGAAATACTAACTGAACACCCTCCACATGTGAAGACAATGAGTGGGGAATGCATCCCTCCCTGCCCCCAAAACTAACTTTATACATGGAACATGAAAGGACAAGTATAAAGGAACTTTACTCCCAATAGCAGTGTCATCATTTAGAGAACCCATTATCACAGGAGGAGTTACCACAAATCTCTTATCAGAATCTCCTTAGAAGCACTCTTACATAAAGTCCAAATTTCCATGCTCCACACCTAGAAACTCTCGTTCTGAAGTTTTGTAGTGGAGCCTGGGAATCAGTCTCGCTTCCATAGGCAGTTTCAATCATCCAGGCTTAAAAAAAGTTTTAAAACCACAGCTGGCTCGTTTAATCTAGCCCCCTCCTCCTCTAGGGTTTTGGTGAAGTTTTCTCAGTAGGATTACTTTTTCATTTCCCCATCCTTCCAAATCTGGTATATCCAGGTTGTGACCAGGGCTTAAGAGAGGGAAAGGACCAAGTGTGTGTTTGAGGGAGTGTGGGGGGCGGCATTTCTGGAGGACAGAATCTTTGCTCCAGGGTTAGGCTACTTTGAGTACCAAGACTTGAATATTTTGTTCCTAGCAAACAGGAAATGAATGTGTGTTGTGTCTGTCAGATTTACATGGCTGTTGTCCCTGTTTCTGTGTTATGTCTGAAAGAAGCTTCTGTAAGCACCTAACACATGTAATCATGTCTGATTCAGTGTTGCAGGATACCCCTGCCCTCTTAGTTTAGAGCACATGTGTCAAACACAAGGCCCGCGGGCCAAATCCGTCCCGCCAGGCCTTGCAATGTGGCCCGCACCGCGCTGTCATCACTGCACTCCGCTGCGTTTCCATCACAATGACAGTTTATGACTGTTCAGTAAACCATTCGGCCCGCGATTTAGGCTGGATTTTAGATTTTGGCCCCTTCTCTGATTGAGTTCGACACCCCTAGTTTAGAGACTGTAAACTGGTTTAAACGAACAGTGGGGGGAGAGTCACGATCATGAGTGATCTCTTAAAGGATCTTAGATGTCTTCAGTTTGCTTAGTTTTCCTGTTACGAGTGTGTTTTTAATGGATGACAAGTATTAATACAATTGGACTCAAATTTTAGGAAGTAAAATAGCACCGTTAATCCCTTATTGTGAAGATGCTAAATGGGGATTTGCTCAGAGCAGGCTGTCTTAAGCTTCTTGCAAGATAGAGATACAGGGACAACTTCTTAAAAGAGGAATCTCGTGAGGAGAAGTTGAGGGAAGTAAGGGAGAGTGTAGCTTTGTGCAGCAGAGGCCAGCGGCAGCCAGCCAGCCAGCCAGTGTGTGCACTAGGAAGCTAGAGGTGCAGGTCCCAGTCCCTGCTCTTACAATCCCAGCCTTCTGAGGAGGGGTGATAAAAAGTTCATATCCTGTTTTTCAGAGCCAGTGTTAATAAAAGCAAGCTTCGGTTTGGAGACATCTATAAATCTAGCTACAAGAGCACATGCTGAAACCATGAATCTAATGTAGTTTCTGTTCTCAGTGGTGGTGCATAGCTGAAGCCAGTGAGATGTGTGTCCTTTAAATTCCAGCTGTCTTCATATTAATTAACTTGGCTGACTGATATAATGTTCTCAGGTTTAGCTCAGAAACATACCAAAATAGACCTGAATCTGATTTCAGTCTATAATGAATGTTGGTTTTAAGGAAATGTTTTAAAATGCACTGATGTTCAGTGTTGTGGTTTATAAAAAAAGCAGCTCTGTGAGACTAAAGCATATTTTAATTCAATAATGAGGCTTTCTTAGAGTGACTCATACTTTACATGCACAGAAAAAAACTGAGAGCAGGCAGCAAAAGAGCTCATGGCTCAGAAAGCCTTGCCTTTGGCTTCAGACTTGAAGAGCAGTCTGGAAGTGGAAGGGGAAGAAAGCAAAGAATGCTAATCTTGAAGGGGTAGGAGAAGCCTGGGCCCAGACAAGATTGTACTGATTGTAAATGGTTTACAGTTATCCCTTTACAGAGGACAGGAACAGATGTCTGTGTACCTCTGTAATCCTTGTACTCACCTAATTCTGATAATCCTTGGGTATTAGCCTCACACAGGATTGATGAGAATGCAAATTCCAACATTGCAATTCAAGATTTTGCTTGTGCTGAAATTGTACTATAAAATTTTTTATGAGTTGGTTGAGTGATGGTTATCCCTTGCTCTATTCCCTGTGTTTAATAGCATTTCTTTGTCCCAAAGTTGCAGCTTACAAAATGCAAGTAGGTATAGTTTTTTGTTTTGTTTTGTTTATATATTTTTTATTGATTTTGTACCGAGAGGAAGGGAGAGAGACAGAGAGTTAGAAACATGGATGAGAGAGAGTCATCGATCAGCTGCCTCTTGCACATCCCCTACTGGGGATATTCCCGCAACCAAGGTACATGCCCTTGACCAGAATCGAACCTGGAACCCTTCAGTCCCCAAGCCGACGCTCTATCCACTGAGCCAAACCGGTTTCGGCTGTTTTGTTTTGTTTTATAAATTAATACAGTGTAAAAAGAATATGGGGAGTACTGAGGATGGTTTCTAAAACAGACAAAAGAAAAGAAAAAAATCAGCCAAAACCGGTTTGGCTCAGTGAATAGAGCATTGACCTGCGAACTGGGGGGTCCCGGGTTCAATACCAGTCAAGGCATGTACCTTGGTTGTGGGCACATCCCCAGTGGGGGGAAGGGAGGTGCAGGAGGCAGCTGATCGATATTTCTCTCTCGTGGATATTTCTAACTATTTCTCTCCCTTCCTCTCTGTAAAA